ATAGAAAGTCAGTGTTTTGATGTGATCCATTTTTGTCCTTATAACTCGCTTATGTATATTTTTGGACTATACATTAGATATTTGTAAATATGTGTGATACGTGCTGTTAATTTCTGACTTATTAAGCAGATATTTAAAAAAAACAATTTAATTGATCAAGTCACACACACACACACACACACACACACACACACACGCACAACAGAAGGAGTAAATATTCATTTTTTCTTGCAGGTTATGGAACAGGCGACTGAGCAGTGAATGAGAAAGAGGAACTGAGGAGAAATGAGAAAAGAGAACTAATCAGTGGTACTGTACCATAAACACAACACAGGACTAGTGACTGTGGTACTGTACCACAGACACAACACAGTACTCATGACTGTGGAACTGTACCACAGACACAACACAGTACTCATGACTGTGGAACTGTACCACAGACACAACACAGTACTCATGACTGTGGAACTGTACCACAGACACAACACAGTATTCATGACTGTGGTCATGTCATGCACTAGAGACAATACAGGACTTGTGATGTGGTAAGGTCACATGTCTTCAGTTTGGTTTGGTGTGGAGCTTAAGTCCTATTGACCACTGAAGGGTTGGAAGACCACTAGAGGGTTACAATATTGACCATTGGAGGGTTACAATAGCTTTCTGACTAATCAGTAAGTATACCTTTAGTCCTGAACATAGTAAACTCAGTGTATACGCACCGTGAAGCGAGGTGCACCTCTCAGTGTGTATATATATATATATATATATATATATATATATATATATATATATATATATATATATATATATATATATATATATATATATATATATATATATATATATATATATATATATATATATATATATATATATATATATATATATATATATATATATATATATATATATATATATATATATATATATATATATATATATATATATATATATATATATATATATATATATATATATATATATATATATATATATGACACGCAAGTGAAGTTTTACAACTTTAGAACACTTTTCCATCAGGAGACTCGAACCCTAACCAGCACAGAAGCCTCACAGCAACTGGCATAATTCATTCAGACACTAATTCACAATAACGGGGCTGAACATTAGTCACCCAACCCACGTATATGAAAATAAAGATCGTGGCGACGTTTCGATCCATCCTGGACCATTATTACCCGAATTGACATCGATAGTGGCCAAAGATGGACCGAAACCTCGTCTCTACAAATTTTAAATTTTGTATTTTTTTCTAGACGCTTCATTTAGTATAGGTCTGTTTAGTAATTACACCTGTAATGGTCTTCAAAGACTGAAATAGAACTTAGTACCATGAATATAAATTGAAGTTAAGATTGAAGAGAGATCAGGCAAGATTAGATTAGGAAAGAGGGTTTTGATTTTTTAGAATTACAGTGTAACATAATGGACGTGGGATCCCTTGATTGTTTCAAGCGTAGGTTAGACACATATATAAATGCGTTTGTGTGGCTATAAAGAGGAGCTGCTTTGTGTGAGCCAACAGAACCTTCTTCACTGTCCTTGAATCTTATGTTCTATTATATACAAAGCAGTTCTCAAACCTATATAAATATTCAAACCTATCGCTTCGTTCTTGTCTTAAGAACATATGAATTAGGAAACACCAAAAGGTCTATTGTCCCGATACAAGACAACTTTTATTTATATCCATCTACACCCATTCATATGCATTAACCTTCAATTGAAGCAGTCAGGTGATCTACAGTCTATTATGTAACCTGGTAAACTGTTCCGAAAGTCAACAACCTTATTTCCGAAACAAAGATTTAACACGGTGTTTATCCAAATCAAAATTAATTCAATTTATAAACATTTTTTTAGAACTTGTTGATTTGTTGCCAAATGTGCATTATTTTTTTTTGTAGACGAGCTTGCGGTGGATGAAAGATATGGACCAGGACCAGGATCGGGATCAGAACATGGACATAATAAGAGTAAGTGAACTAGCTCTCTTATTCCTTCAATTCCGGGACCTGCCTTCATATTATAACGTGTTAGTGGCGTCGTCTCCTTACTCCTAATTAATCTCCTAATTCCCCTTACTGATTAACCCGTTCACTCAACAACACGTCGCGTTTCTTACGTTAGGGTGCCTGACAGCTGAGTGGACAGCGCTTCGGATTCGTAGTCCTGAGGTTCCGGGTTCGATCCCCGGTGGAGGCGGAAACAAAAAAGGGGCAGAGTTTCTTTCACCTTGATTCCCGTGTTCACCTGGCAGTAAATAGGTACCTGGGAGTTAGACAGCTGCTACGGGTTGCTTCCTGGGGATGTGTAACAAAAAAGAAGGCCTGGTCGAGGACCGGGTCGCGGGGACGCTAAGCCCCGAAATCATCTCAAGATAACCTCAAGATGGTAAGACCAACCTAACCGATGCATCATACTACGAATAGGAACGTCTCACAAAACTCTAGACGGTTTCTAGACACTGGCCTCGATAGGTTAAGTGGGTTGCTCGGGTTAGTATGTTGTCCAGATAGGTTTGTAGGTGAGATTAGTTAAGCAGTGACAAATCGAAAGAAAATACCACATCATTATGGCTTATCGGCCAGTGGTTAGTTTCTCCCGTGTCCTCCCCATTGACAGTGAAAAGGCCTGTCAAGGATCAAAATAATATTTTTCTAGAGAAAGACCGAATAATAAATAGAAAATTAAATATATATAAATAAACGCTGAAATCTTGAACCGTAACAGTGACTTTTCAGATTCTGTAACTGTGAGTCTAGGTACCACCAGCCCTTTATTAATTTAATAACAACAGTTACATCATCTAGTAAGTGCATAAATTACAAAGAAATTTGTGACAAGTAACAAGTCATATCTGTTCCTATTGAGGCCCTGGATACCAAAAACACAAACAGGACACTAAAAGGACAAATTACCTTATCTGACAGAAAACTGTAACCAGTGGGAAAACTGTATCCAAAAGTTAATTCAACGTTGAATCAACGTTAATTCAACATTGAATCAACGTTGAATCAACGTTAATTCAATCCAACTGCTATCAACGTGCCGCCGAAACAATCACACAACGTAATCCCAACTTTAGATTTAGATTGTAACAGTATAACAACGTTGCAACAAAGTTGTGCTGACTTTGTGTGTTTGTTGAGTGGTGAGGTTCTCGCCACAGGTCCTCGAGCTATATGCTCTTCCATCCAGCGGCCGAACCCCAAAGATACATTCATCCATTTTAATATGCTGTTAATCCAAAATAGCTATTTTCTCAAATATAAATATATTATTATATCAGCATACTGTCCATATTTAGGCCTTGGTTGGGTTAGGTTAGGTGTTCAGGTTCTGTTGGCGATTATTTGTATTTATAGTATGTCGGTGAAGCATTTACAGCGTTGTGGTTCGAAGAAAGGTCGTCAGCAAAGAGCAGTTCGGAAAATGCTCGAACGTCATCAGTCAGTTCATCCTTCTGTTTTGGTAGTAACGATTAGGACCATAGTACATGTATATCGACGTACAGCACAATTAGAAAGTAGAAATCTGTACTACTGAATTTGGACAAACTGGAAAAGGTGTTGTATTTGTGTTTCAAAAACAACCTAAACTAATCTAACCTAACCTTCCTAGGCCTAAATACATGCTATCTCAGTCCTAATATATTACATATGTATGCTGTATTTGGCCTAGGAATATTTAAGTTAATTTTTTAGCTTAATTTTTTTGAACGCATTTTTTTCGGGCCCCGTCCCCTCGTCCTCCCCATCATTCCACACTCTCACGTCCCTTCGTCCTCCCCACCATCCCCCACACCCGATCCTTCGTCATCCCCACCATCCCCCACACCCAATCCTTCGTCCTCCCCACCATCCCCCACACCCGATCCTTCGTCATCCTCACCATCCCCCACACCCGATCCTTCGTCCTCCCCACCATCCCCCACACCCGATCCTTCGTCATCCCCACCATCCCCCACACCCAATCCTTCGTCCTCCCCACCATCCCCCACACCCGATCCTTCGTCCTCCCCACCATCCCCCACACCCGATCCTTCGTCCTCCCCACCATCCCCCACACCCGATCCTTCGTCCTCCCCACCATCCCCCACACCCGATCCTTCGTCATCCTCACCATTCCCCCCCCCCTCCTTCATCCCCTCGTCCTCCCCACCCTCCCCCACTCCTGTCCCCTCGTTTCCCCACTCCCTTGTCCAATGCATTCCCAAATGATCTGATGTTCCCATCACTGAATAAAACAGTTAAAGAAGAACAGTTAAAAAATCGAAATGAAAAACACTGAAAAAATAAAAACATAAACTATACTCACGAAATGAACGGTATGGTAAACAACACAGCCCAATTCCAATGCAATGTCACTCAAAATAATTAAATCAAAATGAAAATAAATCGAAATCTATGAAAATTCAATTAATCAATGCAATTGGAAATACTGAAATGGAATCATAACATATTTAGCATAGTGTGCGTTGCTTTTACGTCCAACAGATGGCGCAGTTTTTTTATAAATAGCACGTTTTTTTCTGTCACAGGTGTGGCATGTATATAGTAGTTATATAAAAACACGCGTATAGTCAAATGCAACTTTGAGTCAAAATTTCAAATCAATCGGTGAAGAACTTTCGGAGATTAGCGATTTTGAACAAACGAACATTATCGTTGTTATTTAAATAGATATCATATTTGCATGTTAACCATTGTTTCCAGAATGCAGGAGTGCCAAGGAGTGCAAGAGGGCCGGCGGACGGTGCCAAGCAATGAGGTGCAAGTCACACGAGCGGGAGATCAAGCGCGCCTGCAGGGATGGTAACTCTCACCATGATTTGAGGGGTGGTGGTGGCAGCAATCCGTGGGCCGGCAGTAACTCTGGCGGAGCCGGAGGCGGACACTCAAGCGGAGGCGGACACTCAAGTGGAGGCGGACACTCGAGCGGAGGTGGAGGCGGACACTCGAGCGGAGGCGGAGGTGGAGGCGGAGGCGGAGGCGGAGGTGGAGGCGGAGGTGGAGGAAACACGGGCAAAAACAACTGTCATTGCTGTGCTCCTAGAGGTCAGTATTATGATTTACAGTCAAATCTATATCTCTAAGAAGCCTTACCTGTTTGTTTGATAGTCTGTCAATCCAACGTCGGGGGCCAGACGTTTGGGGCTAACCTCATTAAACTTTGCAGGGTTCGAATCCCACGATAGGACTGAAGGCCGTTAATCCTTACACCTAATTATAAAAACATTCGTGTATTTAACTTGTATTCTTCATCTTCCTTAACTTACAGATGATCACCACGGCCCTACTATAGTGAGAGTGAATGAAGGGAATGAAGACGCAGAAGGAGAAGAAGAAGAAGCAGCACCTCAAGAAGGAGAAGAAGAAGAAGAAGAAGAAGAAGAAGGGGAACAGGAGTATGTAGAAGAGGGAGAAGGAGAGGAAGAAGAAGAGGAGGAGTAGAACCTGAAACACACACCTGACTGCTAATTATAGAGACTATAACAAGTCACATGTTTTATAACACAGGAATACCCAGGATACTAGCACTTACTAGCACGCTAACATCAATGGCCTCTACCATGACTGTCTCACCTAACCACTACCATGATGTACTTACCATGACGTTACACTAAGCCTACTCCACCTGCCGTAATACATCAGTCATGAGAAAAACATCAGATAATTAATACTGTCGCCATGACACACTTGCCACAGATGGCAACTTCTCACTTGTGTAACAAATGTGAACTGCTGTTTTGTGTCTGGTTCGACACCCATGGCATTCTTGACATATTCATGACATTCTTGACATATTCATGACATTCTTGACATATTCATGACATTCTTGACATATCCATGACATTCTTGACATATTCATGACATTCTTGACATATTCATGACATTCTTGACATATTCATGACACTCTTGACATATTCATGACATTCTTGACATGGATATAATAGTCTTGACATATTTTTTATATTGTTGTCATATTTTTGATATTGTAGACATATTCATAACATTCTTGACACATTTATGACATTCTTGACATATTCATGACAATGATGGCTAGCAGAAGCTCAACCTACTTGTGTAGAATTTCTCTTGATTCGGCTCTAAAGTCGTTCTTTTCACTGGCTTGTGAGATCATGCTTTTAACATCTATCAACAACAACATATTTCTCCATGTGTTTTGCTAATTGTTTTCTACACAAACACTGGTGCTTGGAATTGCCGCTCGCGAAAATAAAATTATTGCAACAAAATATCATTGATTTTTATTTAGTGGTTGGCTTTTCAGCTGGGTGTCTACAGGTCCCTCCTTGATCAACCTTGCTCTGGGTACTTGATCTGAATGCTAAGATGTCTCCCTTAGAACGTAACCACACCAGTTCGGATATTTTAAGTTTTCCAAACTGGCCGGAACACGAGTTGAAACGTTGCAGAATACAAGTATGCAAAAAACCTGCTGGGATTGATATTAGAGGAGACTACCAGGGACTTGTACTGAACTAAATTCAAAATTGCTGTCTGCAATTTAATTCAACTAAAATCTCTAGCTAGGGTTGTAAATCCTAGCTCCTCTTTTCCTAATGACAGATTGTGGGCTGTAAGGGACAGGTGGGGTGAATGAATTAGTTGATAGAAGTTCCAGTCCACCTGTAGACAGGGATTCTCACATCAGCTTGTATTTTATACAAGGATAAGATTTAATAAATTCAGTTATATGACTGAACACTGGCTCTGTTTAAATCAGAGATTTAAACATGTACATAGTCTAGCTTAGCACCATAACTATTAACAGCCAATACATACTTATACTATAAACAACAATTTAAATTGTAAAAGTATAATAAATGACTTTAAATGTAGTCTAAGTACTGTTAACTAAGTACTAGAAATTATATTCAATTAAATGAACTTATATGATAACTTAAAAAATAACTAAGCAAGCAACTGCTAACTTAATTTATATATTCAAGTATATATGCAATGTATTTATATTCAATTTATATGATTGGGTATAGTCAGCTTGATTGAATCCTTTCCCACACAATGGACATTCATGAGGTGTTATTTACTTATTGCAGCTGAATCTTTTCTGACATAATGGACACTCATGAGGTCTAGTGCTTGGATAAAGATTCACAGCTACACTACAATTTTAATAAACTTACTGAGATATGAGGCGTTGCCTCGCTATATAACCGACAGACAGACTTATAGGATATTAAAGTTATACAAGCATATAATTGGCCAATTTATACACAACTGTAATAACCTTCAATATACTTATCTGAAGCCGGGTGCCTGTCTGACAAGTGTGCCAGACTGATTAACTCTCTTGTCGCAAGTATAGGCACGATATTTTATATCTAACAGTGTTGCTGTATGATGTACTAGTAGCGTTGCTACGTGATTTTTCTTTAACTGCATTGCAAAAAGATGAGGGTTGATGGTGAAGGTGGAGACAAGTTACTGTGTGCTCCACTCTACACTTATATATATAAATGTTCTAGGGATATGTCCTTGTCCTTGGACATATCTAGGGATATGTCCAAATGTCCTTGTAGATATTGTCCAGGTACTCCCCCAGTTCTAGAGAGTGTTCACTGGTGATAAAGATATTAGATAAGGTGTCCTGAGCCAAATAATGTTCAGTAAGGTCCCTCACACTTGTTCACTGTTTTGTCAACAAACGCGTAGTGCCGCGGGGTGTCTTGTGGGCGCTTCTTGTTCCCAAGATGCCCCTCCCTCTCCCTTAAGAGGTAGCTTTCAATGAATATTGATTGATTATTTTTACTGTCTAGACATACGATTGAGATAACATGTGATTGTAATATAATTAGATATAGGATTTAAAGATTATAAGTAGTACTTGATAGTACCACTGATTCTTAATAAGGATTCGATTTATAATCCCTACCAGAAGCGATTAATGTTCCAATAGTTTTTTAATTAACAAATCCTTCTAGAAGCTTCTGGATCCTTGAGAGATCATGCACAAATCACGTAGGCATCTATAGGGCCCTATATGGCGTATGTGATCCAAGTGGCATTGTCATCTAGGATCAAGCTGTATAATGAATCTATAATGATTCGGATTTGATTTTGATATGATTTTCATATGATTTGATGTGATTTTGATACGATTTAGATATGATATAAATATGATACAGAAATTATACATTTCTTAGATGATTATTAGATATTGGTGGGTAAAATTTCCCACAACAAGAACTGACATGAGTACGATATAGAAGGATTAGAAAGGTTATCTAGAATACCAGATCAAAGTTGTGTAAGATTTAGTGCTTGGATGTGATCTGAAATTATATTCAGTGAATGGATGTGATCCAAGATTATATATAGTGTTGTGGTGTTGTTGACTTCGAGACAGCTAACCCACGATGATGTTAACCGTTGACATCTGACATCTGCTCCTTGTAGACAGCATTATGGCCAGGACATCCTCGTTAGTGTTGTAAGGTGTCGGCTGAGTGACTGGTTCACTCACCCCAGTAACCAATTGACGAGTTACCAGGTTTGGTGGGCGAGTTTTTTAGGTAACGTATCTCCCCCGATCTTATCAGAAAATATATTCAAATCGATCAATCACGTGATCTATCAATTGATTGATCTAAACGATCTGTCAACCGATCTATATATATCACGTGAGTACTGATTTCGATCATGGTTTCACGTGTAGCTGGACCGGCTGGAACAGGTGTACAATCAGACCTGAGAAAGACAGACAAGATCAACTGGCTGAAGTAGGGATATCACTGTGTGTTTAAGAAGGTTGGAAAACCCTAGAGCAAGGGAGCCGGTCGGCCGAGCGGACAGCACGCTGGACTTGTGATCCTGTGGTCCTGGGTTCGATCCCAGGCGCCGGCGAGAAACAATGGGCAGAGTTTCTTTCACCCTATGCCCCTGTTACCTAGCAGTAAAATAGGTACCTGGGTGTTAGTCAGCTGTCACGGGCTGCTTCCTGGGGGTGGAGGCCTAGTCGAGGATCGGGCTGCGGGGACACTAAAAAGCCCCGAAATCATCTCAAGATAAGGTAAAGTCTGCTACCTGAGTTACGCACAATTAGTAAATACAGACCATTGCCTCTACAGGAAATTTATGAACTCTACTAATCCTGACTAAGGGTTCTAGCTCTCGTACAGCTCGAGATCTTGTTACCTTGGGGTGACAAGACTGCACTTGACTATTGATGAGAGTTGACAGAATGTCATCCTCTGTGTCTGACACAACACTTGAACCACTCGTCAGCTCAGCTGGGTCAGGAATCAGAATTGCTGAAGGCAGTTCGAGTTCCTCCCTAGTGTGATTTGGTTTAATTTATTAATGTGAATAGTTCTTTCAACTTGGTCCTCAAATACATCTTTAATAACAAAATTAACAGGACCTGCTCACTTAATTACTCAAGCATATCTTTAACTGTACAGTTGGTTCATTCCATCATCCCGTTTGCCTGAGGGTGGTAGACTGTTGTTAAGGCTGAAGTGGTATCTAAAAATTTTACAAACATCTTTAAACATATTACCAACAAAATTTCCTGACCTCGGTCAGAAATTAACCAGTTTCCGTGGCGTAGTGATAAGACATTCGCCTGGCGTTTCACGAGTGCTTTGTCCTGGGTTCGTATCCTGGCCGGGAAGGATTTACAGGGCATCAATCCTTAACTGTAGCCTCTGTTTACCCAACAATAAAATGGATACCTGGTTGTTAAACAATTTGGTGGGTCATGTTGGGAAATCTGTCTCTAGATTAATACTAATAAAATGATATATAATTCTAATATGTTCGAAGGACCAGAATTCTATTCTAAATGTGTCAGCACCCAGTGACTTATGGATCTCTATGATTAAATGCAATTAAATTCTAAAGATTCTATTAATATATAATAAATGAACTGTAGATTCTATAAATTCTAAAGCCCCTGCCCATCACATACTTTGGGGGGTTATTCTATAAGGTTAGTTTATATAATGCATATAATATATAATAAATTTCATAAATGATGAGAATAAGAAATGAATGTATAAATTATAAATCTTATCATAAGAAATCATTCAATTAATCAAGAAAATGTTCTATGAAACTACAAGAACGAAATAACAGTTTAGCTGTATGATGAAATAGTAGCATGCATCAGGCAATACTCATCACTGAAACTTGTTGTATCATAATATCCTAGGAACATATGACCGAGGCAGAGGCTTATCTCCGTTCTTGCCAATAAGACACAGGCTGAAATAAGGGTAGTATGTAAATACTATCTAAAGAAATTTGATACCACACATATTTCTAAATGAAATGTGAGAGTGCCCTGAAATAAAACTCACTTGTTAATTTTTAGTGGGCATGCAGTATGACAACAAACGTTCTATCTAATATTATATTGTGATCACTAACAATAGAAGTAATAAAGGACTTAGAGTTTGCCGATACTGGTGTCTGAGAAATAATTTTGCTGCTTCGTCACTCTAACATGTGCAGTAGCAAGGCGGTAAATCTAGCAAGCTTCCACACACACTCTCTCTCTGAGAACTATGGCTGCTTCTCTCCGAGTGTTCCTTCCTCTCCGCTTGCTTGCGCATGTGTGGGAAATTTTTACCCACTATATCTATATTATTATCTAAGGAATGTATTATTTCTATATCATATCTAAATCATAACAAAATCATATTAAAATCATATCAGAATCACTACAGATTCATTATACAACTGGATCCTAGGTGCCTATGATCACATATGCCAAAGGGCCCTATAGGTGCCTATGTGAATTTGTGCATGATTTCTCAAGGATCCAGAAGCTTCTAGAAGATTTCTTAATTAAAAAACTATTGGAACAATTGAATCAATTTCTGGTAGGGATTAAATCAAATCCTTAATAAGAATCAGTAGTACTATCAAGTACTGCTTATTATCTTTAAATCCTATATCTAATTATATTATAATCACATATTATCTCAATCATATGCCTAGACAGTAAAAATAATCAATCAATATTCATTGAAGGCTACCGTGCTCAGGGAGCATGGCGGGGGGGGGGGGGGCAATGGCTGGGAGAGAAGTGCCCAAAACACCCTGAGGGCAGAACACATGTGTTTACAAACAGTAAACATGTGTGACGGTGCTTAGCGATCATTATTCAGCTTAGGAGACCTAATCCAATTATCTTTATCACCAGTGATTACTCTCTAGCACTGGGGGAGTACATGGACAATATACCTACAAGGAAAAAATCCTAGAACATTTCTATATAAGAGTGTAGAGTGGAGCACACAAAGTGACAACTGTCTCCACCTCCACCATCATCACCTATTATCCTACTGCAAACGCAATTAAGGATATAATCACGTAGCAAAGCTACTAGAACAATCTACAGCAAAGCTGTGATGTAACATATCCTGCCTAAACTTGACAAGAGAATTATCCAGACTGGCACACTTGTCAGGCACCCGGCATTCAGAGAAGTATATTGAATGTTATTTAGTGTATTAATTGGCCAATTGTATGCTTGTATAACTTTAATATATCCAATAAGTCTATCTGTCGGTTATAGGGTGAGGCAACGCCTCATATTTCAGTGAGTATTCATTAATCTTGCAGCAACTGAATCTTTTTCTAGGACCTAGACACTCGTGAGGTTCACTGCCTCATCAGTGTCCCCTGGTCTGGGAAGAGTTTGTCAGGCTGACTGAATCTCTCTTTATAGTGAAACTGAACATATATATGTATATATATATATATATATATATATATATATATATATATATATATATATATATATATATATATATATATATATATATATATATATATATATATATATGTCGTACCTAGTAGCCAGAACGCACTTCTCAGCCTACCATGCAAGGCCCAATTTGCCTAATAAGCCAAGTTTTCATGAATTAATTGTTTTTCGACTACCTAACCTACCTAACCTAACCTAACCTAACTTTTTCGGCTACCTAACCTAACCTAACCTATAAAGATAGGTTAGGTTAGGTTAGGTAGGGTTGGTTAGGTTTGGTCATATATCTACGTTAATTTTAACTCCAATAAAAAAAAATTGACCTCATACATAATGAAATGGGTAGCTTTATCATTTCATAAGAAAAAAATTAGAGAAAATATATTAATTCATGAAAACTTGGCTTATTAGGCAAATCGGGCCTTGCGTAGTAGGCTGAGAAGTGCATTCTGGCTACTAGGTACGATATATATATATATATATATATATATATATATATATATATATATATATATATATATATATATATATATATGTATATGTATATATATATATATATATATATATATATATATATATATATATATATATATATATATATATATATATATATATATATATATATATATATATATATATATATGTCGTACCTAGTAGCCAGAACGCACTTCTCAGCCTACTATGCAAGGCCCGATTTGCCTAATTAGCCAAGTTTTCATGAATTAATTGTTTTTCGACTACCTAACCTACCTAACCTAACCTAACTTTTTCGGCTACCTAACCAAACCTAACCTATAAAGATAGGTTAGGTTAGGTTAGGTAGGGTTGGTTAGGTTCGGTCATATATCTACGTTAATTTTAACTCCAATAAAAAAAATTTACCTCATACATAATGAAATGGGTAGCTTTATCATTTCATAAGAAAAAAATTAGAAAAAATATATTAATTCAGGAAAACTTGGCTTATTAGGCAAATCGGGCCTTGAATAGTAGGCCAAAAAGTGAGTTCTGGCTATTAGGTACGACATATATATATATATATATATATATATATATATATATATATATATATATATATATATATATATATATATATATATATATATATATGTCGTACCTAGTAGCCAGAACGCACTTCTCAGCCTACTATGCAAGGCCCAATTTGCCTAATAAGCCTAGTTTTCATGAATTAATGTTTTTTCGACTACCTAACCTACCTAACCTAACCTAACCTAACTTTTTTGGCTACCTAACCCAACCTAACCTATAAAGATAGGTTAGGTTAGGTTAGGTAGGGTTGGTTAGGTTCGGTCATATATCTACGTTAATTTTAACTACAATAAAAAAAATTGACATCATACATAATGAAATGGGTAGCTTTATCATTTCATAAAAAAAAAATTAGAGAAAATATATTAATTCAGGAAAACTTGGGTTATTAGGCAAATCGGGCCATTCCATTTACTAACTACTCTGGCACTGAAAAAGTTCCTTCTAATGTCTCTGTGGCTCATTTGGGTACTCAGCTTCCACCTGTGTCCCCTTGTTCGCGTCCCTCCAGTGTTGAATAGTTCATCCTTGTTTACCCGGTCGATTCCCCTGAGGATTTTGTAGGTTGTGATCATGTCCCCCCTTACTCTTCTGTCTTCCAGTGTCGTAAGGTGCATTTCCCGCAGCCTTTCCTCATAACTCATGCCTCTTAGTTCTGGGACTAGTCTAGTAGCATACCTTTGGACTTTTTCCAGCTTCGTCTTGTGCTTGACAAGGTACGGGCTCCATGCTGGGGCCGCATACTCCAGGATTGGTCTTACATATGTGGTGTACAAGATTCTGAATGATTCCTTACACATGTTCCTGAACGCCGTTCTGATGTTAGCCAGCCTCGCATTTGCCGCAGACGTTATTCTCTTTATGTGGGCTTCAGGAGACAGGTTTGGTGTGATATCAACTCATAAATCTTTCTCTCTGTCTGTTTCATTAAGTACTTCATCTCCTATTCTGTATCCTGTGTCTGGCCTCCTGTTTACACTGCCTAGTTTCATTACTTTGCATTTACTCGGGTTGAACTTCAACAGCCATTTGTTGGACCATTCACTCAGTCTATCTAGGTCATCTTGTAGCCTCCTACTATTATCCTCTATTTCAATCCTCCTTATAATTTTTGCATCGTCGGCAAACATTGAGAGGAACGAATCTATACCCTCTGGGAGATCATTTACATATACCAGAAACAGTATAGGTCCAAGGATTGACCCCTGCGGGACTCCACTTGTAACGTCTCGCCAATCTGAGACCTCACCCCTCACACAGACTCGTTGTCTCCTGTTGCTTAGGTACTCCTCTATTCACCGGAGTACCTTCCCTTTCACTCCAGCCTGCATCTCCAACTTTCGCACTAGCCTCTTGTGTGGCACTGTATCAAAGGCTTTCTGACAATCCAGAAATATGCAGTCTGCCCACCCTTCTCTTTCTTGCCTTATTTTTGTTGCCTGGTCGTAGAATTCAAGTAACCCTGTGAGGCAGAACCTGCCATCCCTGAACCCATGTTGATGCTGTGTTACAAAGTTCCTTCGCTCCAGATGTTCCACTAGTTTTTTTCGCACAATCTTCTCCATCAGCTTGCATGGTATGCAGGTTAGGGACACTGGCCTGTAGTTCAGTGCCTCCTGTCTATCCCCTTTCTTGTATATCGGGACTACGTTAGCTGCGATCCAAATATCTGGCAGTTCCCCTGTTGCCAGTGATTTGTTATACACTATGGAGAGTGGTAGGCACAGTTCTCTTGCTCCTTCCTTTAGAACCCAAGGGAAGATTCCATCTGGGCCTATAGCCTTTGTCACATCCAACTCTAGTAAACACTTCCGTGTGTGTGCATGTTGTATCTAATAACTAGAATTGCACTACTTGGACGAGTTAGCAAGTCTTGATTTGCTTAAAAGGCAGATATTTTCGTTATTTTCTAATATTTCTTTCCAAATGTCTTTATTCTTAACAATAATTATATATTAAGAACAGGAATTACTGACCTATGTTAAGTTTGGATTAGTTACGTAAGGTTTAGTCAAATGTCAATGTTAGTTTTGATTGAATTAAAAAATCCATAAGAGAAAATGCTTGACAATTTTTGTAATTTCAGGAAAAATTAGCTTGTTAGACAATTCTGGCTTTTAGGTACAGTGGTTAACAGTTACATTCTGTCATCTACCAGACCAAGACAGAATTTCCAGCATACTGACCCAGCTATGATTGGAATATAGGAGGTCGGAATGCTGAAGTATCCAGAAAGGTATTCCCTCTCTGGAACCCGACACTGAGGCTCTGGAACAGGAAACTTAGCCGCTTTTGGGTCTCTGGTTTGGAAATAATTGTTCAGTATTCTTAAGGCACACACGGCTGTCCTCGGGAAATAATTATTCAGATTTGTAAAGGGCATTCATCTGTATGCCACTAGGTGCAGTACAAAATAAGATTCTATCAAAACAGGTGTTAGGTCTAGAATTGTCTCGTGATAATTGAAACACCTGTGAAAATGTAATGACACGTGTCAGTCTGTTACTATCTGATTCACTGGTTTTCAGAAGCATCAAGTCAGTTTTTTTAATTTTCATTTAACACGTTGCAATGATTTAAATGTCTAATTTTTATTGAACATGTTACAATGGTTTTAATATAGATTTTCTTTATGCATATTATGAACATTTTTGGTACAGTTTTTGGTGTGAGAGAGAAGGAGAGAGTGAGAGTGAGGTCAATGACTTCTGGAGCATACGGATGCTGCTATGGGGCTAGAAATACCAGACGATCGCGAATAAACCCGGCCAAATGTATAAAATCTATAGCATCTGTTTTCGTAGCAGGTGTCTGTGTCGTTAGTGGATGCCGACCGCCGAGTATATATATATATATAGTGCAAGTGTGTCTAGTGAAGATCATTCCAGTCTTCAGCTGCACACGCTCGGCAGAGGACGGAACCCACTAGACAACTCTACCAAAAGTTTAACACAAACAAATTTTCTGAAGAATACATTTGATAGTTTTTCATGAACTATCGCCCAGAATTCCCAAAATTCTGAGCAAATAATCTTATCAGTAGCTTAAACAGCAACTGTGTCTGAGGAGCACAAGTAGCCAGACACCACGAGCGAGAAAAAACCACCATGAAGTCCGCGTATTTACTAATGTTTCTCTGCGTCTTCCTGGTGAAGGCACAGAACAATCCTGAGGACCCAGCGGTAGCAGAAGCACCGGCCGGTAAGTCAGAGAACCTTTCTGTATTCTACTTGCAAAATACATAATAACATAAAACAGACGACCGTTTCACAGCTAGCATATTAGCTGTGAAACTAATTGCACATTGGATAGCGTATTTGTTTCTAATATTGCTATTCGGTATGGAGTCTTGCGCTGTGATGCTCAAAATTGTTCTCTCGTTCGAGTTCAAGTAAATTTATTGAGGTAATGAAACACATCTCAAAAGGGTAGAGCTGCTTAGGCTATTTCTACCCTCGTGTTCTCTCCTCTCAACAACATTGTATGCTCACTTAGGTGCTGTAGGAAGCTTGCAAAACTAAATCAATTAGAAAACCCATGCAGATTAAAATATAGAAAAGCTATACAGAAACGCTAGAAAAATGTATTATTAAAGGAGAAAATATTCTACTTCACAATACCATGAGGCCATACCATGATGAGAGAAGCCACGGTCTGGTCATGGTTTAGTGGGTAGTACAGCTGCATGGGGAGTCCAGGGATGCGAATTCGTTCCCATCTCATGGCCTCAATATTTTCACATTGATATATGTACTGGCACTACAAATTTTATTCAGGAATATTCACTCAAAACTAACTTAATCCTTGTAGTCGAAATATTCATAACTGTGCAAGAAATATTTGGAATTATATATATCTGAAAATATACGAATGAGAATGTTACCTCTTCTAAACACCACACATACATCACAATGCTCAAAATTCATGTTTATATTATAGCACACTTCACCGTGATTAATGACGTATGATAATCTGTCCCGTACACAATGAGGTTTCCATATGGATTAGTGAGCCAAAATAATGCATAAGGAAGAAGTTATGGAAGACTCCTCCATCCACAAATTTAAGGCAACATTCGACAAAGAATTCGAATGTCAAAATAGTTAGATTATAACGCAACAGGTACAACAAAGTTAGTAGACGGGGCATAAAGAGCTAGACCACACTTGCCCGTAGACCCTGATATGTAAGTTTTGATATGTATATAATATATATATATACACACACACACACACACACACACACACACACACACACACACACACACACACACACACACACACACACACACACACACACACACACACACACACACACACACACACACACACACACACACACACACACACACACACACACACACACACACACACACACACACACACACACACACACACACACACACACACACACACACACACACATCCAACAAATGTTCCTCAATAATTTCCAACACTTTGAAACACAGCACATTAAATGACATTGCGGCACACGTGAGCCGCTGTTGTAAGCTGAGGGAATGACTAGCACATAAACACACGCACTTGATATAACCTTTAAAATTAATAATATACATTTTTTTCCGTTGCAGATGCTGGAGACGGTAAGAGAGAGAACAGGAGACAAAGAAAGATCAAGAGAAAAAGATGCCACATTCGGTTATGAATCATTTCCATAGACATTAACCTGACAACCAAGACGGCGCCTAAGTCCTGTTCATAAGACGAGGACTTTACATTACATAGTCCTTGATCGACACAGCAGCACCACCGCTCATATGGCCTTTTTGGGGGGTGGGGGGCACTGTGCATAGACATATGACTGGTATATTGGTCTCAGGAGTTGTGGCACTATTCCACAGACACAACTCAAGGCTCCTGAGGACCGTGGTATAGCTTCGTAAGCTCCTTCGTAGACACAGCCCCATGCACGAGAGACTATCACTTACCAGTGGCAACAATGAAGAGCAAGGGGAGGAGGGAAGGGGGGGGGGAATGGTGACGTGGAACTGCTACACAGACACAGCACAAATGGGGCTGAATTGCTGATTTAGCAAACAAAATCAGGACTAGTCTAGGGACACAGGACTGTAAGACACGTGGCCCAGTTACATTGAGGACTTACAAAACACAGCCTCTTGCAATGGTTCTTAGGTGTGCAACAGGATCTGCATGGGAGGGGGAGGGCGGTGTGCTGCTGTTTCGTGGACAAAACAGATGACTTGTCCTCTGTTATGCTTCAAGCAGAATGAATTAATTTCAGTGTTCTGTGTGTGTGTGTGTGTGTGTGTGTGTGTGTGTGTGTGTGTGTGTGTGTGTGTGTGTGTGTGTGTGTGTGTGTGTGTGTGTGTGTGTGTGTGCAGTCTACACGAAGTGCTTGAATCTATTTCACCTCATAGACTCTTCGAATTAATGTTCTTGCAAATATTTTTTTAAAGGTTATTTTAAATTGATATGGAATGCCCCTTTACTTATATCTTTACAATAGATAATATATATAAGTTCAGTAATTATTTACTACTAGACTGACTGACATAAATTCTGTTAATTAATTTTCTTGTAAATATTAATGATCTTGTAAGTTAGTGACCTCAATTGTTCTAAATTAGTCCAAGTTCTAGAATCATTAAGAGTATATATTCGAGAATATATTTGGGATATAAAATTTCTAAATGTTCATACCTTAGATAAATGTGTGTGTCAGGATTTTATGTCTGGATTCTTGTTGATCTGCATTGAAATAGCAACTGCGTGATACATTGAGTTACATTTTACCGCATCGTTGCTCATTGAGGAAGGGAAGTGAACTATCAGGGGAAAGCGCCAAGTCATTACAACTATATAGCACTTTGAAGGGGTCAGGATAAGGATTTAGGAAGGGCCTGGGAGGGTAGGGAGTGGGGGGATGGAAGGAATGGCGCCTGACTTGTACGGTCGGGAATTAAACGCCGACCTGCATCAAGCGAGACTGTCGCTCTACCGTCCACCCCAAGTGAGGAATGGTCACTGTTGTGAGCCAGGACGTCGGTTCAATCCCCACCGCCTTGATAAAAAGATTTTCTTTCGGTGATAGTTTCTAATATAGCTATCTGGTGTGGATTCTTGTGTTGTGATGCTCAGACGAACCAACAGAGTTGCGATTGAATGTTTTTTGTTTTTTTATAGAGGGATCTCCCATTGACTCGAGATACCATCAAGGATGTTCACTACGGGACAGATGCCGAGACGCCAGAGGCTCCTGCAAGAGGACGTGTGACAGGAACTCAGAGGATGAAATAACAGGAGGGTGTGATGGAAGGGATTGCAAGTGTTGTGCTCCTACTCCTACTCAGAGGAGTAAGTGAATTACCTCATTATCTCTCTCTCTCTCTCTCTCTCTCTCTCTCTCTCTGTCTCTCTCTCTCTCTCTCTCTCTCTCTCTCTCTCTCTCTCTCTCTCTCTCTCTCTCTCTCTCTCTCTCTCTCTCTCTCTCTCTCTCTCTCTCTCTCTCTCTCTCTCTCTCTCTCTCTCTCTCTCTCTCTCTCTCTCTCTCTCTCTCTCTCTCTCTCTCTCTCTCTCTCTCTCTCTCTCTCTCTCTCTCTCTCTCTCTCTCTCTCTCTATCTATATAATGAGCCAAGTTTTCCTGAAGTTATATATTTTTCTAATTATTTTTCTTATGAAATGATAAAGCTTTCCATTACATTAAAAAAAAAGAGTTAATTTTTTAATTTTAGTTAAAACTAAGAAATATGAAAAACCTAACCTAACTTAACCTAAACAAACATACCTAAGTCAGTAATTCATGTTCTTAATATAATATAATAATATTCAAATTAACTAAATGGAATTTTGTTTAAATAACGAAAATTACTGCCTATTAGACAAACCAAGCCTTGCATAATAGGCCGAGTAGTGCGTTCTGGCACACACACACACACACACACACACACACACACACACACACACACACACACACACACACACATATATATATATATATTTATAGGTGTTTGTGTATGTGTGTCAATGAAAAACATGTGTCCGCACAGAGTGCAGGAGCTCTAAGGAGTGCAGGCGAGCTGGAGGAAGATGTCAGACAACTCAGTGCGGCTCACACGAGCGGGAGATCCGTCACGGGTGTAGCAGTACCGATTCTCACCGCTGGTTAATCGACGTAGCGGCCAGCGGCAGCATAGGCATTGGCGGCGGTATTGGTGCAGGCGTTGGCGGTGCTAGTGGGGGTACAGGTGGTACCAGTGGAGGCAGCGGCGGCAGCAGCAGCGGTACCGGCGGCGGCAGCAGCAGCGGTTCCGGCGGCAGCAGCAGCGGTTCCGGCAGCAGCAGCGGCGGTTCCGGCAGCAGCAGCGGCGGTTCCGGCAGCAGCAGCGGCGGTTCCGGCAGCAGCAGCAGCGGTTCCAGCAGCAGCAGCAAGAGAGTGTGTTACTGCTGTGCTCCTCGAGGTTGGTATGACGACTAACAGTGAAAATAATATTCTTGAGAACAGTGTTCTCTGGACCCATATATCTATAGGAATCTCTATCTCTACTACCCATATGGTCTTCAACCTATGACAGTCCCCAACCTTACACCTACATCAACGTGGATATATATATGACAATGTCAGACCACGAAGGAAAATGAAACAGGAAATTTCCTTAAGTACTTTCGTATATTAAATACATCTTCAGAAGGTCTTCTGAAGATGTATTTAATATACGAAAGTACTTAAGGAAATTTCCTGTTTCATTTTCCTTCGTGGTCTGACATTGTCACATTCTTAATCACGTGTTTATTTTCGTGATATACACACATATATATATATATATATATATATATATAGTATGACGTAACTAAATGCCAATGAGTTTTCAGTTGCATATAGTCCTGGGGACCCCTTCAGGCTTGTTCGAATATATATATATATATATATATATATATATATATATATATATATATATATATATATATATATATATATATATATATATATATATATATATATATATATATATATATAAATTCTTCTATAATAGGTATTGATATAACATCATAAGTACAGACAGCAGCATAAGTACAGACAGCATCATAAGAACAGACAACATCATAAGTACAGACAGTAGCATAAGTACAGACAGCAGCATAAGTACAGACAGCAGCATAAGTACAGACAGCAGCATAAGTACAGACAACATCATAAGTACAGACAGCATCTTAGTAATGATAGCAGCATAAGTACAGACAGCAGCATAAGTACAGACAGCATCATAAGTACAGACAGCAGCATAAGTACAGACAGCAGCATAAGTACAGACAACATCATAAGTACAGACTGCATCATAAGTACAGACAGCATCATAAGTACAGACAGCATCATAAGTACAGACTGCATCATAAGGACAGACAGCATCATAAGTACAGACAGCACCATAAGTACAGACAATATCATAAGTACAGACAACATCATAAGTACAGACAGCATCATAAGTACAGACAGCATCATAAGTACAGACAGCACCATAAGTACAGACAGCATCTTAGTAATGATAGCAGCATAAATACAGACAACTTATAACCCAAACCACATATTTGACCAACCCATATGTGAGACCCTACCATATATATGAAATATATGTGACTCAACCAACATGCGTGTGAGTTGAGTCCTTTGTTTCATCCATGATGTAATGCCTTAGTCTGTATACTGACTAACTGAACTGTTCCATCCGTGTTAACCTGCAGGCGGGAACCACTACGATATTAGGGAGGGAGAGAACGACGTCGGGGCTGCTGGAGCTGAAGAAGACGCACCCCAAGGAGCAGACGAAGTGGTTGAAGGAGGTGAAGAGGAAGAATTGAATGTAGAGGAAGAAGGAGAAGAAGAAGAGGTAGAAGCAGAGGAGGAGGAAGAGCAACAGTAGGATCTTTAGCAATTACAACCACACACACTTTATAAATTGGGTTAAACACTCTTGGGTCTCACCGGTAACTGGATAGGGAGACACGTGGATAAATGCCTCACTTGTAACTAGTATGTTCATAAACTAGTTACATGATTAATTGGTTTTTCAGATTGTATCATATACTATTATGATTGTAAACAATTACTTAAGCGGGGGGGATTTGATTTAAAGCTTTGTGGATATCCTATTTTTCCTCTGTTTAGTATGAAGGTACTCTGGGTACTTTGATAAATTTGTGCAAATAATAAAATATAGGTATAAATTATCAAGAGCTTTTTTTTTTATTTACCCCAAAACGTCTAATCTCTCCAAACTGCTAATAAAAACACCTTTATCATAACTTCCATTAACAAAAACACCATCATCATAACTCACAATAAGAAAACACGCTTAAGTGCCGTATTTCCGATAAGCATCGTATTTTGAAAACTGCAGGGGGTTTAGGGCAAAATATGGCTACTTGCAATTTTCACTAATTTGCATATTTTCGGTACAAAAAGTCATAATTTAAAACTCCAAATACGTGCAATCACACTGAATTCCGATAAAAAAAATAACGCTCAGGAATTATATATCCGATTGGCATCGTATTTTGAAAACTTCAGGGGGATTGGGCAAAATATGACAAATCGCCATTTTCAATAATTTGCATATTTTCGGTATTAAAGGGTCGTAATTTAAAACTCCAAATACGTGTGGTGTCAGCGAAGGTGGCAACACTTGGGGTTTCTGCTAGTAGTTCTTTTAATTATCACCCCTCTGAATAGTGAAGCAAATTAGGGATCCACAACGTGGAAACTTGCTCCCCTTCTCGCTGCAAAAGGATAACATTTCATCACCTGCTACTGTGTGGGGCAAGCGTGTACAATCTGCTGACTTATGGTGTAAAGTGGCAACGTCTGCTGATGTCAGGGTTAAACGTGCACCACTTGCAAGAATTAAATTTCCACTACGTGCTGAATTAATGGTAAACATGCTACATCTGTTGATGTAAAGGGAAAACTTACATCACCTACTGATGTATGGGATTCCATATGTATGAATATCTGCAGCCAGTTTTGCATATATGTATATGTATATTGTTATGACCAGGGTTGGTCTGGATTAATGAAATAAGTTATATTACAAACAAATAAGGAAGATTTATGAGTGCTTGAGCAATTGAGCTTACAGTGATGCCAAGGGCATGCTGAATTTCTACCTTGGCTGGTTCTAAGAGACGTAAGGATGTGAAGTAGCTAATTATTAAACAGCTAGAAGGATATATCATATATGAGACATGACTGTAAAAGATTGATGGTAGTAAAATAATTTTTAGTGTAAACAGTTACAGTATGAGATATGGGCAGTCAGAGAACACTGAATTTCATTGGTCGGTGAACCGGGTGACATGGTGGTTTGTTGTCTGTACTGCTGGGATTGTAATTACAGATAAAATCCTTTATTCAGTTGATTACCGGCCATCAAATGTATTATTTTTGTGTTTATGCATACTTCAAAGCGACTGTGTCTATTGGAAGTCAGCGTGGAGATGCTCTTCAATGTGCTATGTGCGCGAGGGAAATGTTAAACAATACTTTCTTCAGAAGTTTTGAGCTTGCCTAAAGTGTTTTGCTTTTAAGTCTTTACCCCTGAAAATTCTGAACATTTGTCCCATAATAAAACTGTCAATCTCTTCGCAAAGTCTTTGAACTGAATTTTAACTCAACTTTTGATGAGAAATGTATTAAAATAAATGAAACGCCAGCTCCTGGGCCCTGCTTTAAGTGATGACTATGTTCGCTACAGTCGACCCTTATCTCTTACAATGTTTCACTCGTTTTAATTTTTATACAAACAGTTTGACCAGAGGAAGGTCTTAGATTTTATAAGGCTCCACCCCCAAGTTCCTGCTAAATTGATTTGCGAATGATATACTGTCGTAATTATGTCTCAAAGAACATAAGAATTAGGTAAGCTGTAATAGTGTCTAATGGTCCATACGAGGTAGCTCTTATTGGCTCAACGAGGCTCTCCTATTGGCTCAACGAAGCGCTCCTATTGGCTCACACGATATAATTAGGATCCCAAATGATCTTCAGGCCAAACGCTGAATGAAGTTATTTGGCCTGAAGAAGTACAGCGCTGTGGACTGAGACTATCAAAGTGCGACAGTCGACAAAGTTGGCGCTTCTGGCCACTCGAAACCAAGATAATAATAATATAATAATCACCAGACGTAATAGAGCTGTTAACCCGGGGGGTCAGTCACTTCTACCGTTCCGCTGGGAATAAGTTACAAAAAACAGCTGAAACAAGTAATCGAACCCCCACACATATGATATGAGTGGGTTGCTAATTATCGATTTCTTACATATATAAATATATCCATAAAACACCTGGTTTATTTAGCAGGTGTTTGTGGATAGCGAGAGCCGACTACGAGCAGATGACAGGCGTGTCTAGAGCAGTAGGTCTCCAGTACTCATCCACTCATTCTCGACAGCGGACGGACTTATAAGGACACGACTTAAGGAGTCACAGCTGTACATACACACAGGCACACTCCCTTGAGCAGACGTGGAAGTCTATCCAAACTTAGTAATACAACTTTCGCGACTACCAGTACCTTCAACCACTTCCACCAGCGCTACAACCACCACAAGCACCAACAGCGACAAAACTACCAGCAGCAGCTACAACACTGAGAAACAAGTCACCAACAGCGAGACATCTCCACCATGAAGTCCATGTATGCGCTGATGCTCCTCTGCGTCTCCCTGGTGAACGCGGCGGCCGTCGAGGGCGATGCTGGGGACGAGAAGCTTCTCCCAGTGATGGGCGGGATAGCAACAGTAGCTTCCAGTGAGTTAAGGCTTTATTTTAAGGGATACTTATGCAGGTTTCTAACTTCCACTGCTATCACATTATTATGTCACTTCCTGCCCGTAGTGCCCAGTAATTATTTACCATCAGAGGTTCTGTACGACGCTGCTAATGTGTTTAATGTTTAATATAGTTGGCAAGAACTCGTCTATATTATTATTATTACTGTTGATGTATATATTAGTAGCGATATCATAATCGTAAGAGCGGTATTATTAGATGAGACCAAAGTAGCAGTTAGTTATAATTTAAATAGAATTAATGCTTAATGTGAGTTATTGTTTATATAGGCATGAATTTTTATTTTATTTTAATTTCTGTTTGTACATTACCTATCCATTTGGATTGGTCCGTACAGCGACGGCCTCCCTTCTTGCAGATCCGAGTTCGATCCCCAACGATCCAATTAATTGGGCTTCATTCCTTCCCTCTGCCCTATCCCAGATTATTGTCCTCATATCACCTCCAAGTGCTATATATATCATACCAGGTTAGCACGTTCATATTACGGGCTATTCATGCCCGTGCCACTTCTTGGGCGGCTTAATCTTCATCAATCAATCACTTTCTCCTCATAATAACCAATAGACAGGTCTGTGACGGAGGCGAGACAAGGACGGGGGTGCAAGCCTGAGAGCAGCTGTCACACATCACACACATCTCGGAACGTGCCGAGACGTGTGTGATGAGTCGAGGGAAGAGGAGGTATCCAACGGGTGTAGGGGAGCTGGGTGTAGGTGCAGCGTCAAGGCCACCCTTAGGCAAGCGAGTATAGGTAAATATAGGTCTTCAGTATAGGTCTTTAGGACCCTAATATTAACAGAAGTGACTTCTTCCTAAGGGAGTGGGCATCCAGTACACCCGTGTTAATGTCTGCTGTGTGTAACGTTCCAGGCTGCCTGGCTAGACCTTTTTGTGTTATTCGCGGAGGGAAGTGTGGAACGCGGAGATGTGGCCCTTCCTCCAGAGAACTGCTTGGAGGATGTAATTATTTAAGCTGCCATTGCTGCTATCCTCGGCCTTGTGAGTATATATGTTGCATTGTGAAAGCATCGGTACTATAAGAGAGAAGGTCTGTCTGTCTGTCTGTCTGTCTGTCTGTCTGTCTGTCTGTCTGTCTGTCTGTCTGTCTGTCTGTCTGTCTGTCTGTCTGTCTCTCTCTCTCTCTCTCTCTCTCTCTCTCTCTCTCTCTCTCTCTCTCTCTCTCTCTCTCTCTCTCTCTCTCTCTCTCTCTCTCTCTCTCTCTCTCTCTCTCTCTCTCTCTCTCTCTCTCTCTCTCTCTCTCTCTCTCTCTATCTGTTCAAAATTGGAGGCAGACGCCTAGCTTCACCTAAATTGTCAGTTATGATGGTGTGGGGTCTGGGATGAACATAGGTTAACCGAGTTCGCCATAATTCAAAATGAAGCAGCGTGCCAGGTCCACATTCACACCCCCACCACGGTTTTCATCACTGGCTGCCGGCTAACCCTGTAAATATTTTGAAAGCACAACAAAAAATCAAATCAGTGATTTTTTTACTTATAATAATAATAACAATAATATGCAACATTATTCATTGATGCCGGGAAAATTAGTAGACTATTTCTGTTATTCATATTTCGGCCGTAACGACTAAACGCGTAAATTCAACAGAGCCACTACTCCTCCTACAGCCCCGCCACAGGAAGACATATAGATAAGACACCTTAACAGACATAAACAAAGCAAATCGGTAACTATTTTATTTTAAATCAAAATTCCCAAATGTTTATTTTTGTTTATAATAATAATATGCATTATTATTCACTAATTTCGAAAAAAATAACTCTGATATTCAAACTTCAGCCGTACTACCATAAACACATAACTTCAATATTGCCTCTTCCTCTTCTGACCGCCACATCATGCCCTAGTTGGCTTCAACAACCCACAACACAAAGCAATGGAGTAACTTTTCAAATTTAATTCCTTTTTCTTATAGAGGGACACAGATAGATAGATAAAATATATTGATGGATGGATAGATGGAAAGATAGATGAGTAGATGTATAACGGATTTGTTAAATGGAAAGATTAGTACCTCGTATGGCCCAATAGGCCCGCTGCAGTTACCTTCATTCTTATGTTCTTCATATGTTCTTCTTATGTTCTTATATTCACAATGAAGGGTACCTAGGAACATCAGGAATAGACTGTCTCTCCCTAGACGTCTTAATTGTCTTACCGTCTTCTCCTCACTATTCCCTACCCCCCCTCTTTCCTCCCCTCCTCCATTTCCCTTCCCATTTCCTATTTCAAGTAAATGGAATAAAAATACAATAGGCAACTATAGCGACAGATATAAAAAGCTAGTTTAGGATGATTGATTAAAATGGAATTAATAAAAATGTAAGTTGATTTTTAACCTTATTACTCTAAAAGAGCTATGAAAAACATTAAAAAAAACATGTGAGTGCTAAATAAAAATGCTAAATATTTAAATACTAATAACGTGCTGTTAAAAAAAACATACTTTTAACCTCAATGTGATGGATTCAGTTTTCTCGACACAATTCATAAATTATAAGATACAGTTTCGTATAAATAAATCTTATTGTTGTTCGTATTTCTTTACAGTCCGTAACATGCACGAGGGAACTGGCAATGAACAAGAAGGCGAGAATATCGAAGAAACAGCAGAAGGTGAATAAACTATAGGACATGAATAGTGTCTTTCCACAATTGGCTTTTGGAGAAAATATTGTGGAAAATATTTCCACAATATTTTCCAAGCACTTATAAATATTATAGTGAAAACTGCCTGGTCTTATGACACAAATATAGAAATGTCAAATGAATAAAAATAGCTCATTATATATAGCAGCATGTCTATCATTTGTTGTGTGTCTATCATTCCCTGCATGTCTATCATTCCCCTCTATCTATCATTCCCTGTGTGTCTATCATTCCCTGTATGTTATGACGCGACACGTTCTCATGAGGAGTGCTTCGCATTTTGACATATACTTTCCCCTAAGGCCAAAAACTAATGTACTAAAAATGATAGCAACTTGACGTGATATCCCATTGAAGTTGATGTTCGTGGGTCTTCGAGTAGGTTAGGTTCATGCAATTTAGTACAACAGTTTATTGACGTTGGGAATGTTTCTGACGAACGGGCTGCGTGATGGGGAGTGGTAGCGTTGTTGTGAATACATTCATAATATTTAAGTTTTATATATAATAAATTTAAACCTAGGTAAGGAGGCATTTAGGGCGCTTTACACTGCCTCCGTGAGACCAGTCTTAGAGTATGCTGCATCATCATGGAGCCGCCTACCTGAAGAAACACATAAGAAAACTGGAGAAGGTTCAGAAGTTTGCGACGAGGCTCGTTCCAGAGTTACGAAGGATGGGATATGAAGAACGCTTAAAGGAACTAAACTTTACGACACTAGAAAAAAGAAGGTAGAGGGGGGGGATATAATTAGAACGTATAAAATACTCAGGGGAATTGACAGAGTGGAAATAGACGAAATGTTCACAAGAAATACTGGCAGAACGAGGGGACATGAGGTGGAAACTGGAAACTCAGAAGAGTCACAGATATGTTAGGAAGTTTTCTTTTTGCGTGAGGGTAATGGAAAAATAGGATGCACTTAAGGAGGAGGTTGTGGAAGCAAATTCTATTTATAATTTTCAAATTAGATATGATAGGAAAATAGGACCGGAGTCATTGCTGTAAACAACCAAAGGCTAGAAAGGCGGGATTCAAGAGTCAATGCTCGATCCTGCAGGCACAAATAGGTGAGTACTACATAAGACTCTGGACTGTGATACTGTTCCATAGACACAACATAAGACTCTGTATTGTGGCAGTGTTCCATAGACACAACACATGATATTTCCTTAACAAAACTGAGTTATTTAATCTATGTTTTGTGAACAGAAATAATGGGTATTGTAGGTCGCAGATTTTTACTGAAGAAGTCATAAAAATGTGAAATACACAAATAATTAAATTACTGCCAAACTGACCAATATATCCAACCTGACCAATGTGGCCAACTTGGACAAAAAATGGTCATAAAAAGATACCCGATAAAAAAATACCGAGTGAGTCGATAGAGTTGTTTTTATACAACTCTTATGTGCTTACATAAGAGTTGTGCTCATGTGTCTACCCTCAGACTATCGACGTATTTAATAGACTCAATTTTTCTAGACGAATTGGCTGTGAACTTGAGAAACGGAACCGGGTGTTCCCCACGGACCTCCTGTCAAAACGCTGACGGAACCTGCAAGCCAACATGTAATGAGGCAACGGAGTCGGAGGTAGCTGACGGCTGTGCTGGCAACGGCTGCAAGTGCTGTGTTAATACAAGCTTGAGACAGGCCTGTAAGTCATAAACCTACTCTGATAATACATGCTTGAGACAGGACCTGCTGCATTAATATAAGCTTGCGACAGTCGTGCAAGTCATATATCTGCTGTGTTAATACATGCTTGAGATAAGACTGTAAGTCATAAACCAGATGTAATACAAGCTTGAGACCGGTAGATAAGTCATGTTAATTCAAAAGTGAATGGTGATACAAATATTTCTTACATGAAAGAGATTTAGAGCTTTGAAGAGTTACACTCATGATAATCAAACTAACACAATGGTTGCCACAAATAGTCACAATGGTGTGATATCAACGAGAAAGTCATTTGGAGCAAAGCATGAATTTGAACCAGCGTTCTAATGACTTCCAGACGCTTCTTTTAGCCCACTCAGCCACGATAGGACAAAATATAATGTATCTGGAATTCTATTGAGTTCATTTGGGGAAGTCTGGAAGTCCCAACTAGTTTCACAGCCAAATTTTTTTTATGAATTGCCCGTCTACTCTCCGGTCTGTTGATAATGGTGCTCTCGCCTATATGCTCCCTCCATCAGAACACAAGATATCCCAATCGCGTAATCTATCATTGAGAAAAACTTTTGGGACAATGCAGGGCTTCGAACGAGCGTTCTAGTGACCATTGGGATTTCTGTGTCCTGAAGGAGGTGCATATGGTGAAGAATTATATTAACCACAGGTCAGAGTGAAGGAGAGCTCTTCGTGCAAAAATCTGGATGTGGAACCAGTTGGGGCCTCCAGACTTCCCCAGTGGACTCAGTAGAAGTACAGGTTCAATACCTTTTCCCCTATCATGGTTGAGTGAGCTAAGACAAGCATCTGGGAGTGATTAGAACTCTGATTTCATTCGCTGCTAAAAAATATTTTTTTCAATGAGTATCATACAAAAGAAGCATTCTCTTTCTTACCAAAGAAGCCCTCCCTACCTCACCAACCAAGCAATCCCAACCTTATCAACAAAGCACTCCCTTCCTCACCAACCATGCACTCCTTTTCACACCGAGAAAGCACTCCCTACCTCACCAACCAAGCACTCCCAACCTACCCCATCAAGCTCTCCCAACCTCAACAGCCAAGCACTTTCAACCTCACCAACTAAGCATCCCCAGCTCACCACCCAAGCACTCTCTACCTCACCAACAAAGTACTCCCTTCCTCACCAACAAAACACTCGCAGCCTCACTAATCAATCATTGCCTAAAATCTCCAGCAAGTAAAGACGTCGCTTAACAACCACATTTTCCTTACAGCGTGTCGCAAAGTGTGCCAATATTTTAACGGAAATTGCAGACAAAATTCATGTGGCAATAAAGCTTATGAACTAGATATTCCTTGCTCCCCTTTATGCATCTGCTGCCTTCCTCCGCCCAGTGAGTATATCGTACTGAACAGTTATTCTTAACTTATTTAGGATTACAGACTATTATTGGATTACCCTATATTTCTCCATACCTCCGTCGCTAGACTGCCCAAATCATCATTATCATCATCAGTCCTGTTAGGTACCTGTATGACTTCAATAGATGTCAATAGCCACGGTTAATCAACCACCTCTTTCATTGGAATTTTATCATTTTTATATATAGAAAAACGGGAACTCACAATACACGCGCTAGCTACATCTAGTGATTATTGGTCGCGGTACAGTTACTGAGGGTGATACTTAATTGTAATGTAACTACTTTTTTGTAATTGTTCATAGATCGAGTCTCATACCCCCATTGGTTGCGTCATGTGCCCTCAAGATGGGGAACAGCTATACCCGGTAGATAGAGATTATTTTATTACCAGCATTAGTCACAGGTTTCCTACATTAGTCACACGTATCCTACATTAATAACCAGAATCCTCAATTAGTCACAAGTATCCTTCATTACTCACAGGTATGTGACATTAATCAAAGGTATCCTTAATTAGCACAGGTAACCTTCATTACTCTCAGGTATCCAACAGTAATCACAGGTATCCTACTGAAGATAACTGTCTGAGCATATCCTAGGCTATTGGTCATAAGCCTAAAATGTTGAATAATTAAGTAACCGGACAATTAAGCAGCCCTTTTTTGTATTGAATATTTTTTTCACAAGAGATCAAGTAACAATGACATCAAATATTGTTGAATATGACCAATAATATATAGTTTCGAATATTTAAAATATTTTATTTGTGTTTTCAGAAAATCCGCCCGGTGTCATTATCGTTGGGTAAAACGAGAACGGAGAGGAAGCGTGAGATGAAGAGGAAGGAATCCTGGAGGAGGAGGAAGATTAGTAATGAGAAAATTATTGGAGACTCTCTATGGGATCGAACTCTCACGCCTGACCTTCCCGGACACACGCACTACTGACCGGACTATGATGAGCGGCTGTACAATGGGATCAAACTCTCAACCTTGGACTCCCCCGACACACGCACTTCAATATAATCTTGTAGATACGTCACACTCTTGTGACGTCATCGTGTGAAGTTCAGGAAAGTTTCCGGAACCTTCACAGACAAACGCACGGTTTTGTTGAGCCTCAAACTGCAAGTTTTTAAGCACGTTGAAAGAAAACTGTTGAGCCATTTTCAGTAAAAAAGATTATTTAATCCTTACTGATGTTTAACTGATTATTTTGTTGACAAACACACACATCATATTATTGTAGTTTTTGGTGTAGACCAGATAACTTTTGCTTTCTTAATTATTATTATTATTATTATTATTATTATAAATAATATTATATATGGTTCTTTGGGTCTATTTTCTTGTTTTAAGCAATAAAAATATATATAAATATTTGTGGTATTATCTCCAAGAAAAATATCAATATTTTTACTAACAATAATATTACAATTGTAGAAATAAATATCACTGTAATAAACAAAGTTGGAATATTATGAATCCATACCATACTGATGCTCACTAAAGTACTAAATAAACAAAGGCTAATCTCTCGTGAAATGATCCCTAATTTGAAATTGGCGATGGGGATACACGGTGCCTTAAACAACTCATAAATGAGGTGATCCTATCGATATGATCCTATCGATATGGGGTGAAAATTTTACCCATAAAAATGAGATGATTTGATGAAAAGCTATGCCCAAGATTACCATCAGAGTGCTGTTGGTTTGATGATTCAGATAGCCATCATGGTTATATATAACCATATATATATTTATATATATATATATATAGAATATATATATATATATATATATATATATATATATATATATATATATATATATATATATATATATATATATATATATATATATATATATATGTCGTACCTAGTAGCCAGAATGCACTTCTCGGCCTACTATGCAAGGCCCGATTTGCCTAATAAGCCAAGTTTTCCTGAAATAATAAATTTCCTCTATTTTTTTCTTATGAAATGATAAAGCTAACCATTTCATTATGTATGAGGTCAATTTTTTTTTTATTGGAGATAAAATTAACGTAGATATATGACCGAACCTAACCAACCCTACCTAACCTAACCTAACCTATCTTTATATGTTAGGTTAGTTTAGGTAGCCGAAAAAGTTAGGTTAGGTTAGGTTAGGTAGGTTAGGTAGTCGAAAAACAGTTAATTCATGAAAACTTGGCTTATTAGGCAAATCGGGCTTTGCATAGTAGGCTGAGAAGTGCATTCTAGCTATTAGGTACGACATATATATATATATATATATATATATATATATATATATATATATATGTCGTACCTAATAGCCAGAATCCACTTCTCAGCCTACTATGCAAGGCATGATTTGCCTAATAAGCCAAGTTTTCCTTAATTAATATATTTTCTCTAATTTTTTTCTTATGAAATGATAAAGCTACCCATTTCATTATGTATGAGGTAAATTTTATTTTATTGGAGTTAAAATTAACGTAGATATATGACCGAACCTAACCAACCCTACCTAACCTAACCTAACCTATCTCTATAGGTTAGGTTAGGTTAGGTAGCCGAAAAAGTTAGGTTAGGTTAGGTTAGGTAGGTTAGGTTGTCGAAAAACAATTAATTCCTGAAAACTTGGCTTATTAGGCAAATCTGGCCTTGCATAGTAGGCTGAGAAGTGCGTTCTGGCTACTAGGTACGACATATATATATATATATATATATATATATATATATATATATATATATATATATATATATATATATATATATATATATATATAGGAATTAACCTCACTGAGGACCAAGTCACTCTCCTAAATCTGGGCATAAACTGTCATGTTATGTCCAGACCGAGTGAGATGGCCCGGAAAGTAGAGTTGGAAATTCTGTTGGACGACATATTCGACCTCGAGATACAAAAGAAGGTCACTACCAAAGATACCTTACAAGCAGAACTTATTGCAGAAGGAGGAAAGAATCGAGGCAATTACAGAAGCACCATACTGTCCCCCGAGCTCACAGCGGCAGCTAAAAGCCTTCGTGAGAACAAGGAGATAGTTGTCAGGAGAGGTGACAAGTCGCCAATATATGTCATTCTTAAAAAAGACGAATATCTGGCGAAAATGAACATCATACTCTCTGACCAAACTAAGTTCCAAAGGGTAACGAAGGACACTACAGCCGAATTAAAAGCAAAGGTCAACAGACTGATCGAAACTGTGAACGCCAAGAAATCCGGACTCCACCTGCCAAAGATCATTGGGGAATATAAACCTGGATATGCGTATGGAAATGTCAAGACACACAAGCCTGGAAACCCATTTCGGCCAATCATTAGCCAGATACCCACACCCACGTACAGACTGGCGAAGCGACTCAACGGCCTGCTGACTCCTTATGTTCCCTGCGCCTTCAGCCTGAAGTCTCCAAAGGAATTTGTTGACTTACTGCGGGGCACACGGGCCACAGGGATAAGAGCCTCGTTGGACGTAGAATCGCTGTTTACCAACGTACCTGTGGACGAGACAATCGGGATGATAGCCGACAGAGTGTATCGTGATCCAGCCTGTTCTCCTCTTGACATACCAGAAAATATTCTGAGGAAACTACTCCAAGCTTGTACTAAAGAGGCACCCTTCTTGAGCCCGGATGGGCACATGTATAAGCAAGTAGATGGGGTCGCCATGGGTTCTCTCCTAGGTGTCCTGTTTGCAAACTTCTACATGGGTACCATCGAACAAAAAGTCTTAGTCGACATGAACTTGAAACCGGCCATATACTGCAGGTATGTTGACGACATTTTTACACAGGTACCTGATGTCAGACATCTGCAGGAGCTGAAGGAGGCATTTGAGCAGAGTTCCGTGCTGCGTTTCACTTACGAGATGGAAAAGGATGGGAAGCTGCCCTTTCTAGATGTAACAGTCATGGAAAAGAGCGGAGGTTTCCACACTGCAGTCTACACTAAGGAAACGAACATAGGAATGTGCCTAAATGCCAACAGCGACTGCCCAGACAGGTACAAGAGGAGTGTTGTTAACGCATATGTCGACCGTGCTCTCAGCCACAGCTCAGAATGGAAGCAAGTCGACGAAGAACTCTGTAGGGTAAGGCAGGTCCTAGTCAACAACGGCTTCTCCAATGGTTTCGTCGAAGACATCATAAGAAGGAAAGTGAAACGCCATGCAACCTCTGAAGAGACAACTAACACAACACCTATACCCCCTATTAGACTATTTTACAGGAACTTCTTTTCCACAGCTCATAAAACGGAGGAAAGGGTCCTGAAAGATATTGTTAATAGAAACGTTATCCCTACAGACAAAAACAAGAGGATACAACTGACGATTTACTATAAAACCAGAAAAACGGCCAGCCTACTCATGAGAAACTCTCCAGACACAAAACAGAACGCTTTAAAAGAGACTAACGACGTCTATGCCTTCAAATGCCCTCTTGGGGACTGTAAGCTCCAAAAAACCCAGTATATAGGCAAGACAACAACATCTCTTTCTAGGCGTTTAACGATGCATAAGCAACAGGGCTCCATTAAGGAACATATAATCTCTTCCCAGAACCAAACCATCGCCAGAGAAATCCTAGTAAACAACACAGAAATCATCGATAGATACAGCGATAGCAGGCGGCTTGACGTTTGCGAGGCACTACACATCAAGAAGTCAACACCAGCAATCAACAGCCAATTAATGCACAACTATATTCTACCCACCTCAAGACTCCGCTCCAATATAGAAGCATCAAGAAATATGGACCAATAGGCTTTCTACATACACTTCTATTCAATACCCATTGTTTCGTGTTCTGTCTTGTGTTGATGAAATTAATACCCTATTAATGCCACCTCTTGTTCTGTCTTGTGTTGATGAAATTAATACCCTATTAATGCCACCTCACTAAAATGTAGATATAAAATCGGAGATGCGTAAGTTCTATTCAGTTGTGTATTCGTAAACTAAAGTCTTTGAAAATGTAATAAGTTTTACGAAACGCGCTCGTGTCGCGTCAAACTAGAAATAAAAAGGAATTTTGGAGAATTGATTTTTGATTTACCTCCAACAGTGAAAAGAAATGTACGAAAGATTGAGAAAATTCGTGTTAGAATTATTAATCTTACTTTTTCGGTCATATTTAATAATATATGTCTACAGGAAAGACTGCTACCAAAATATACTAATATATATATATATATATATATATATATATATATATATATATATATATATATATATATATATATATATATACATATATATATACATATATATACATATATATATATATATATATACATATATATATATATATATATATATATATATATATATATATATATATATATATATATATGTCGTACCTAGTAGCCAGAACGCACTTATCGGCCTACTATGCAAGGCCCGATTTGCCTAATAAGCCAAGTTTTGATGAATTAATGGTTTTTCGACTACCTAACCTACCTAACCTAACCTAACCTAGCTTTTTCGGGTACCACACCGAACCTAACCTATAAAGATAGGTTAGGTTAGGTAGGGTTGGTTCGGTTCGGTCATATATCTACGTTAATTTTAACTCCAATAAAAATAAATTGACCTCATTCATAATGAAATGGGTAGCTTTATCATTTCATAAGAAAAAAATTAGAGAAAATATATTAATTCAGGAAAACTTGGCTTATTAGGCAAATCGGGCCTTGCATAGTAGGCTGAGAAGTGCGTTCTGGCTACTAGGTACGACATATATACATACATATATATATATATATATATATATATATATATATATATATATATATATATATATATATATATATATATATATATATATATATATATATATATATATATATATATATATATATATATATATATATATATATATATATATATATATATATATATATATATATATATATATATATATATATATATATATATATGTCGTACCTAGTAGCCAGAACTCTCTTTTGGCCTACTATGCAAGGCCCGATTTGCCTAATAAGCCAAGTTTTTATGAATTAATGTTTTTTCGACTACCTAACCTACCTAACCTAACCTAACCTAGCTTTTTCGGCTACCTAACCGAACCTAACCTATAAAGATAGGTTAGGTTAGGTTAGGTAGGGATGGTTAGGTTTAGTGATATATCTACGTTAATTTTAACTCCAATAAAAAAAGTTGACCTCATACATAATGAAATGGGTAGCTTTATCATTTCATAAGAAAAAAATTAGAGAAAATTTATTAATTCAGGAAAACTTGGCTTATTAGGCAAATCGGGCCTTGCATAGTAGGCTGACAAGTGCGTTCTGGCTATTAGGTACGACATATATATATATATATATAGACATATATATATATATATATATATATATATATAGACATATATATATATATATATATATATATATATATATATATATATATATATATATATATATATACATATATATATATATATATATATATATATATATATATATATATATATATATATATATATATATATATATATATATATATATATATATATATATATATATATATATATATAGTGACAGAAGTCAGCGATGAAGTAAACGCACAGTTTCAGGAAGACCAGGAGTTCACTCCTTTGAGTTTAATTCATTAAATTAGAGAAATCCATGTTACGACTCAATATTATATTTAACAATCAACCTTGCTCAGGGACCTATGTAATTACATCAATTTGAGTAAAAGAATCAACAACTCTTACTTGACTACGGGCATATGAGTCAGTTAGCATGAGATCTAGTTTGTCTGGTAGTCTAGTGAGCCGTTTGACACCCTAGCCAAGTAGCGGCCTCCATGTTGGTAATTGCTATCTACCACCTTGTCTGTTAGTTCATTTAAATCAGAAAAATTCATGTTATTCTTCAGTACAGTAATTGATAGTACCCTTGTTCAATTGTCTATGCATATTACCATTAATTGGGAATAGGGATTCAGTCACCTTTCGTAACCAAGTGCATATGTCTAGTTTTGTTAATTATCTTTGAAAATTTGTTTGGCAATCAGCCAAGGTCAGCCTCACAGATTATTAGGACAGTTTACGTCAGTGTGGAATCGGCGGACAGTGGAGACAGGAAGACCACTCTCAATGCTAGTATCATCTCGGCCGGGAGGTGTCAGTATATTAAGGTAGAGTCGCTATTTTAATGTTTAGAACATTACTAGTAAATTTCATTTCATTGGCCTCTAAGATTAAGATATTTCAGTTTTAGGGATTCATCTATATAACTTTGTGTTTAATAAAGTTCATTGAATTAATGGTGTTTAGTGAGTTTTTCCCATTTTTATTTCTTGATAAGAATTAGGTGTAATAAATAGTTATTAAAGTGACTTTTACCGGTCACTATTTATAATTTATGTATTATTTTTCATAAATCCCCGATTCGGTGTTATTCAGTAAGTTTCCTGTGGGTATTTCAAGCACCCTTTAGTCTATTAATATATATTTTCCCTTTTTTTGTTTGATTTGAACCGTACTCAATGTGAACTTTATCCCCCCCCCCCCTTCACCTTCAACTAAATACGGATGTCCATTTTGATGATTCCTAGACTAATTAATTCCTCCTTCGCAGTCAGTTGGTTTACTTAGATACAGTGGGTGTAAATGAGAGAGGTGGTGGTAGTGAAAAAGCGTACTGTAACTGGGGGTAGTAGTGTGTCTTTGTACCTTTGGCCCTCGGAGATGAAGCACCGAAGTTACAAGACAACTGGACTGAGGTTACATTACGGAATAAACGGTGAACAACAGAATCGTTAAATAACGTCCAGCTAAAATCAACAAGAGAGAAGTTTAAGACTGGTACTCTTAAAATGGTGGCAGAAGTTCCCGGACTCGACCAGATGATTCCACAACTACTGGTATGTGTATTAAAGGATGCTATGTGACCCCATTAACGAGAAGCCTTAACACTTCACTGGTGAATAAAAAGCTTCCACACACCCGGAAAACTGCTAAATGAAGCCCCAGCAATCGAGATAGGAGACAGGATGCTCTACTTCATAGACAAGTGGTACTGACGTTTATCCTGTGTTTCAGAATGTAATGATTGGAGCTCCGATTGTAAGATATTTTATCCATGTATTTGTATGTTAGGTTCATCAGTATTTATCTGCGTGTTCCTTTGTTATATACACTGTTTATTCGTGTGTTCTTCCGTTATATTTACTGTATTTATCCATATATTCATCTGTTATTTATATATGTATATAATGAATTTATTCGTCTGTTCTTGTTATATTCACTGTAGTTATCAATGTGTTCCTCTGTTAAGTGCATCTTATTTAGCGTTCTCTTATGAACATTTGTGTTAATACATAACGACAGTACAGAATAGTTCTGCTCAAAAATTTTGTGAAAATATTTATCTAGGGAGCACCAGGAGGAGGTAACAATAACCTTCACCCGTTACTAACGTGACCAAGGAACGAGAAGGTAACAGTAGGATTCCTTGCAGGAACGCACGAGACAACGTGGCCGGAAAAGGTACAATAACTTCCATTACGTGCAAACTGCCACGTTGCTTCAGATATGGCTTCCAACAGTATACAGATTATATTATTAATAGTAGAGTAGGTTAAAACCCCAACACTTGTGTACTCCGCAGGTGTTTGTTGCAGTTCATGCTCAATTATGGAGCAGATATAAGGCAGCTATGTATGTTGCAGGAGTCACCAGTCTTCATCAGCTCTCTCGTCACAGCGGGAGGTCGCTAGTATAGACGACTCTACTCTACAAACACCACCACCAACGTCATCACCAACAGCAGCGCCAGCAGCAGCTACAGCTAGAGAAACAAGTCACCAACAGCGAGACATCTCCACCATGAAGTCCATGTATTTGCTGATGCTCCTCTGCGTCTCCCTGGTGAACGCGGCGGCCATCGAGGGCGATGTTGGGGACGAGGAGCTTCAGCCAGCAGTGAACGACGAGAACAACGAAGATGATGTTGAGGACGAAGGAACAGCTTCCGGTGAGGTGAGTATAGAAATCTTTTCCACTGTTGTACTCTCTGTATTTTCCTTGACCTGGTGTATCCCAGCTATGTGAGATAAGAGACAGTAAACCTCTTATGGGTTTACTTGTCTCATACTAGAGACAAGTAAACCCATACTGAATTGATGATACTGACAATTTGAAACTCTTAGGACCAAGACAATGAAAAATTAATACCATGAATAGGTTTAAAGTGTATATGATAGAAAGGCAGTAGAACAGGAGTGCGTCTTATATACACATACACACTGCTCTTAACCTCCACCTTCAAACGATTAGATTAAATGATTTCATTCTATCGTTTTTATTGTCATATTTACCTATAAAACTGCATTCAGTCAGTATTGACAACTTAAAAATGTTCTTTCTGACTTCTGAGTCTCCATTCTCTCGCAATGTTCCCTTGTTCTGCTGTTGCTCAATCCCTTTGAACATTGTTTCTCAATCTAATTCTTCCAAATTCTGTAGAAATTTTGCATCTCATCATGTTGGGTTTGTTTCTCCTGTTTCTACAGTGTTTTAGGTCTAGTTTCCTCAGTCTTTCTTCATTTCTGGGTCTCCTCAGTCTTTCCTCATAACTCAGTTCCCCTAGTCTCTCTTCATAGCTGAGTTCCCTCAGTTATGAAACTCCCGCGACACATCGGGTGAAAGACGCTGCTGTAGCTGAAAAAAAATCGAAACAACAATATAGTTTGATTACAAACTTATGTTGAGGAAAGGACTGAAAGGTTTCTGACAACCAAGAAAGATCCAGTTTGCCCAAGCCTGCCCCCCCCTCTCTCTCTCTCTCTCTCTCGTCATAAACATTATAGGATTTGTTCAAAGACGATTTGTATACTCTAGATCCATACTGATGCTTGAAAACAAAGTTAAGTAATTCTAAGTGTTGGATTAGCTCTCTTGAAGTTAATCTTTTTAGTACCTCGTAGAGAGTTCTTGTTAGTGACACTGGGGTCTAGATCTGTGGCTCTTGTCTCTCTTTCTTCCACATTGGCACCATGTTAGTGTGTAATGACCAAGCACAGGATTGCCAGTTGGTTGTCTCGCTCTGTCTCCATTCTCCTACATCTACCAACAAAGACTAACTGCATTCATCTCTTTCAAATTTGCACTTCCTTAGGGGAGGCGCTGGGAGAGGCACTATAATAAGAGGCACAGGAGAGACACCTGTCTATAATAATTAAAAGGTTCTTAAAGGAATAAAAGATTTACTTCGTCCATAAAACACATTTATCTGGCAGGACACGCTGTATTCCAAAACTGGAAATCGCTCTACGTACTGTAGGTGGAGCTCACTCCAGGAGACGGTAGAATAGTCCATTTGTTTATGATGGACAGAAAACGAAATTGTGGAAACATTAAAAACCGGAAACCCAAATGAGTCAGAGAGACGCTGATGACGCAATGAGAGAATAGCAAAATAATAATACACTACAGATATAAGCATTAATTAACCTTCTTTTTCTTTGTTTTGCAGATAATGGAACTGGAAACAGAGAATGGGAGGCACAGGAGGATAAAGAGAGAATTAGAGTGGCACAGCGCGAGGAACCTTGGCACTCCAGACACAGACATACATCCAGACACTGGGGTTGTGGCACTATTTAATCCAGCCACAACGTGATGGCTTTGAAACTTTCACTTAGATTCACCACAAAACTCGAGCGGCCTGTGACGGTTCTACGTTAACATTACACAGAACAGTGGCACTACGGAGCTATGCTATATACTGAAGACAGGACTTAATGATTTTATGGCTCTGTTTCATAGTCACAAATTTGGACAACTGACAGTGGCACAGTTTAAACTATAATGACAATAGGAAAGTTACATTGACGAAGAAAAAGTCCTGCGGCACTGTTCCATAGACAGAAGATAGTACTCTGGACTGTCGCATTGTTCCATAGACACAACATAAGACTCTGGACTGTAGCACTGTTCCACAGATACAAGATAGGATTCTAAACTGTGGCATTGTTCCATAGACACAATATAGGACACTGGACTGTAGTACTGTTCCATTGACACAACATAAGACTCTGAACTGTGACACTGTTCCATAGACACAAGATAGTACTCTGGACTGTCGCACAGTTCCATAGACACAACATAAGACTCTGGACTGTGGTACTGTTCCATAGACACATGAGACTGCTTCAAACTTGAGAGGCAGGCGGGAGTAAGCAGAAGGCCCTAGCATGGTAAGGAACCACCTAACTGGAAGGAACCAGAAAATAACGGTAAGGGGCGAGAAGTTGGACTTGCGAACAGTCAGGAGTTGAGTACCTCAAGGATCATTGCTGGGACCAATTCTATTTCTAATATACGTTAATGACATGTTTACAGGAGTAGAATTGTACATGTCGATGTTCGTGGATGACGCAAAATTAATGAGACGAGTTGTAACAGATGGATTGTAGGATTGTAGGACAGATTGGAGAATTGTAGGATCCTCCAAGAGGAATTGAACAGGTTGCAGAGATGGTTAGATAAATGGCTACTGGAGTAGCCATATATAGTACGAGCAAATTAAAAGTTATGGAAATGGGATTAGGTGATAGGCGATCAAAGGGACAATGAAGGGGAACTGCCTACCCGTGACGATTCGAGAAAGAGACCTGGGAGTGTACATAACACCTAATCTATCATGTGAGGCACATATAAATAGGATATCGAGAGCAGCGTACTCTATACTGGCAAAAGTTAAAACATCTTTCAGAAACCTAGGTAAGGAGGCATTTAGGGCGCTTTACACTGCCTTCGTGAGACCAGTCTTAGAGTATGCTGCATCATCATGGAGCCGCCTACCTGAAGAAACACATAAGAAAACTGGAGAAGGTTCAGAAGTTTGCGACGAGGCTCGTTCCAGAGTTACGAGGGATGGGATATGAAGAACGCTTAAAGGAACTAAACTTTACGACACAAGAAAAAAGAAGGTAGAGGGGGGGATATAATTAGAACGTATAAAATACTCAGGGGAATTGACAGAGTGGAAATAGACGAAATGTTCACAAGAAATACTGGCAGAACAAGGGGACATGAGGTGGAAACTGGAAACTCAGAAGAGTCACAGAGATGTTAGGAAGTTTTCTTTTTGCGTGAGGGTAATGGAAAAATAGAATGCACTTAAGGAGGAGGTTGTGGAAGCAAATTCTATTTATAATTTTCAAATTAGATATGATAGGAAAATAGGACCGGAGTCATTGCTGTAAACAACCAAATGCTAGAAAGGCGGGATCCAAGAGTCAATGCTCGATCCTGCAGGCACAAATAGGTGAGTACTACATAAGACTCTGGACTGTGACACTGTTCCATAGACACAACATAAGACTCTGTATTGTGGCAGTGTTCCATAGACACAACACATGATATTTCCTTAACAAAACTGAGTTATTTAATCTATGTTTTCTGAACAGAAATAATGGGTATTGTAGGTCGCAGATTTATACTGAAGAAGTCATAAAAATGTGAAATACACAAATAATTAAATTACTGCCAAACTGACCAATATATCTAACCTGACCAATGTGGCCAACTTGGACAAAAAATGGCCATAAAAAGATACCCGATAAAAAAATACCGAGTGAGTCGATAGTGTTGTTTTTATACAACTCTTATGTGCTTACATAAGAGTTGTGCTTATGTGTCTACCCTCAGACTATCGACGTATTTAATAGACTCAATTTTTCTAGACGAATTGGCTGTGAACTTGAGAAACGGAACCGGGTGTTCCCCACGGACCTCCTGTCAAAACGCTGACGGAACCTGCAAGCCAACATGTAATGAGGCAACGGAGTCGGAGGTAGCTGACGGCTGTGCTGGCAACGGCTGCAAGTGCTGTGTTAATACAAGCTTGAGACAGGCCCGTAAGTCATAAACCTACTCTGATAATACATGCTTGAGACAGGACCTGCTGCATTAATATAAGCTTGCGACAGTCGTGCAAGTCATCAATCTGCTGTATTAATACATGCTTGAGATAGGACTGTAAGTCATAAACCAGATGTAATACATGCTTGAGACCGGTAGATAAGTCATGTTAATTCAAAAGTGAATGGTGATAAAAATATTTCTTTCATGAAAGAGATTTAGAGCTTTGAAGAGTTACACTCATGATAATCAAACTAACACAATGGTTGCCACAAAGAGTCACAATGGTGTGATATCAGCGAGAAAGTCATTTGGAGCAAAGCATGAATTTGAACCAGCGTTCTAATGACTTCCAGACGCTTGTTTTAGCCCACTCAGCCACGATAGGACAAAATATAATGTATCTGGAATTTTATTGAGTCCATTTGGGGAAGTCTGGAAGCCCCAACTGGTTTCACAGTCAAATTTTTTTTTATGAATTACCCGTCTACTCTCCGGTCTGTTGGTAATGGTGCTCTCCCCTATATGCTCCCAACATCAAAATCTAAAGAAATCCCAATGGCGTAATATTTCATTGAGAAAAACTTTTGGAGCAATGCAGGGCTTCGAACGAGCGTTCTAGTGACCATTGGGATTTCTGTGTCCTGAAGGAGGGGCATATTGTTAAGAATTATATTAACCACAGGCCAGAGTGAAGGAGAGCTCTTCGTGCAAAAATCTGGATGTGGGACCAGTTGGGGCCTCCAGACTTCCCCAGTGGACTCAGTAGAAGTACAGGTTCAATACCTTTTCCCCTATCATGGTTGAGTGAGCTAAGACAAGCATCTGGGAGAGATTAGAACTCTGATTTCATTCGCTGCAACAAAATATTTTTTTCAATGAGTATCATACAAAAGAAGCATTCTCTTTCTTACCAAAGAAGCCCTCCCTACCTCACCAACCAAGCAATCCCAACCTTATCAACAAAGCACTCCCTTCCTCACCAACCATGCACTCCTTTTCACACCGAGAAAGCACTCCCTACCTCACCAACCAAGCACTCCCAACCTACCCCATCAAGCTCTCCCAACCTCAACAGCCAAGCACTTTCAACCTCACCAACTAAGCATCCCCAGCTCACCACCCAAGCACTCTCTACCTCACCAACAAAATACTCCCTTCCTCACCAACAAAACACTCGCAGCCTCACTAATCAATCATTGCCTAAAATCTCCAGCAAGTAAAGACGTCGCTTAACAACCACATTTTCCTTACAGCGTGTCGCAATTTGTGCCAAAGTTATAACGGAAATTGCAGACAAAATTCATGTGGCAAGAAAGGTTATGAACTAAAAATTTCTTGCTTCCCTTTATGCATCTGCTGCCTTCCTCCGCCCAGTGAGTATATCGTACTGAACAGTTATTCTTAACTTATTTAGGATTACAGACTATTATTGGATTACCCTATATTTCTCCATACCTCCGTCGCTAGACTGCCCAAATCATCATTATCATCATCAGTCCTGTTAGGTACCTGTATGACTTCAATAGATGTCAATAGCCACCGTTAATCAACCACCTCTTTCATTGGAATTTTATCATTTTTATATATAGAAAAACGGGAACTCACAATACACGCGCTAGCTACATCTAGTGATTATTGGTCGCGGTACAGTTACTGAGGGTGATACTTAATTGTAATGTAACTACTTTTTTGTAATTGTTCATAGATCGAGTCTCATACCCCCATTGGTTGCGTCATGTGCCCTCAAGATGGGGAACAGCTATACCCGGTAGATAGAGATTATTTTATTACCAGCATTAGTCACAGGTTTCCTACATTAGTCACACGTATTCTACATTAATAACCAGAATCCTCAATTACTCACAAGTATCCTTCATTACTCACAGGTATGTGACATTAATTTAAGGTATCCTTAATTAGCACAGGTAACCTTCATTACTCTCAGGTATCCAACAGTAATCACAGGTATCCTACATTAGTCACAAGTATCCTACTGAAGATAACTGTCTGAGCATATCCTAGGCTATTGGTCATAAGCCTAAAATGTTGAATAATTAAGTAACCGGACAATTAAGCAGCCCTTTTTTGTATTGAATATTTTTTCACAAGAGATCAAGTAACAATGACATCAAATATTGTTGAATATGACCAAAAATATATAGTTTCGAATATTTAAAATATTTTATTTGTGTATGTTTTCAGAAAATCCGCCCGGTGTCATTATCCTTGGGAAAAACGAGAACGGAGAGGAAGCGTGAGATGAAGAGGAAGGAATCCTGGAGGAGGAGGAGGAGGAAGATTAGTAATGAGAAAATTATTGGAGACTCTCTATGGGATCGAACTCTCACGCCTGACCTTCCCGGACACACGCACTACTGACCGGACTATGATGAGCGGCTGTACAATGGGATCAAACTCTCCACCCTGGACTCCCCCGACACACGCACTTCAATATAATCTTGTAGATACGTCACACTCTTGTGACGTCATCGTGTGAAGTTCAGGAAAGTTTCCCTAAACTTCACAGACAAACGCACGGTTTTGTTGAGCCTCAAACTGCAAGTTTTTAAGCACGTTGAAAGAAAACTGTTGAGTCATTTTCAGTAAAAAAGATTATTTAATCCTTACTGATGTTTAACTGATTATTTTGTTGACAAACACACACATCATATTATTGTAGTTTTTGGTGTAGACAAGATAACTTTTGCTTTCTTAATTATTATTATTATTATTATTATTATTATTAATATTATTATAAATAATATTATATTTGGTTGTTTGGGACTATTTTCTTGTTTTAAGCAATAAAAATACATATAAATATTCGTGGTATTATCTCCAAGAAAAATATCAATATTTTTACTAACATTAATATTATAATTGTAGAAATAAATATCACTGAAATAAACAAATTTGGAATATTATGAATCCTTACCATATTGATGCTCACTAAAGTACTAAGTAAACAATTAAAATTTAATAGGCTAATCTCTCGTGAAATGATCCCTAAGTGGATATTGGCGATGGGAATATTCACTCCAAGAGGTGCACTCTATTTATTGGTGTTTGTTCACTGACAGGTGCGCCCTATTACTTGGTGTATATACACCGAGCGGTGAATCCAGCTTCTCGATGCGCATACGCTAAGTGAACCCTATTTCTTGGTATATATACGCTGAGAGGTAAACCCTATTTCTTGGTGCATATATACTGAGACATGAACCCTATTTCTTGGTGTATATACGCTAAGAGGGGAACCCTATTTCTTGGTGTATATACGCTGAGAGGTGAACCCTATTTCTAAAGGGCGTGGGAGGAACTTCAGGAATAACAGAACACCAGAAAGCAGAGAGAGATACCAGAGAACCAGGAATGAGTATGTTAGGGTGAGAAGAGAAGCAGAGAATGTTACGGCCCTATTGGGTCGCAACTGGGGTTCTTCTCTGATGTTATTAGAGTTTGGGTATCTGGCCCCAAGTTAGTAGTGGCTTTCAAGGGATGTGTTCGGTAACGCAAGTAAATTAAAGGGGAAAGGGATACTAATGCACTAATTTAAATATATTATTTAACCACCACCATAAATAAATTTATCACAGTCAGTCACACGGGGTTATAAATACACTCTAATGTACAGAATTGTCTTCCTCTGAAGACGTAGAATGCTCCACGGTGCTCACGATGAGTAGCCCTGGTTCTCTTCTTTGTGGCCCACGATGAATCCTTTGATTCTCTCGGCGAATCTACCCCGGCCACAGGCCAGCCAAATCACAGTCCCACTGGGTGCACCGTCGTGGAGGCCTTCAACCACAAATCCAGCCTGTAGCTGGCAGGTTCCGATCAGCTCCGCTGTGTAGGCCACTCCACGACCGATACTAGGGTGGCGAGCCCTAGGCAGGAGCCTCGTGTGATTCCACAGATCACTCTCCTCACCACAGTGGCTAGTCTCTTCCACCAGCCAGCCCCCAGATACGACGATTCCTGGTACTGCCACGTCACAGGCAGGCTAACACACTCAACAGTGTTCGTTCGGGGGGGGGGGGTGACTCACAACTTCTGCAGCAAACACGTGGAGAGACTTTGGCTGCCTTGGGTAGACTGATTCATCGTCCAATACAGCAGTCCCAGGTCGACTCTGTAATCAGACACGTCATCAGTACTGGTTACACTCTAGGGCACCTCACTTACAGGCTTAGACACAAACGTCCACCTATCCACTCCATAGATGGCGTTGCTGTCTAAGCGCCACCTCACCAGAGGTCAGCAGCGGTTATGTCACGAGCTGATTAAGACGGGAGTCCAGCACCTGTGGCCGGTATACCCTGTCCTCACTAGATGGCGTCGTCCATTTGGAGGGGGTTTCGGGAGCTGACCCACAGATGGCGTTGTCGTCACCGCTCCGTGCTACGACGCTGGGTTCGGGTCCGTAACAGAGAAAAATTATGAAAATGATATAGCAAACAAAGCCAAGACCGAACCAAAGCTATTCCACAGTCACATCAGGAGGAAAACAACAGTGAAAGAACAGGTAATGAAACTTAGAACAGGCAACGACAAGTATACAGAGAATGAATGACAAAGAGGTGTGTTAAGAACTTAACAAGAGGTTCCAGGAGGTCTTCACAATAGAACAACGTGAGGTCAATGTGCTAGGAGAAAGGGAAGTAAACCAGGCGGCCTTGGAAGGGTTTGAAATTACGAGAGAGGAGGTCAGGAGACACCTGCTGGATCTGGATGTTAGAAAGGCTGTTGGTCCAGACGGGATCTCGCCATGAGTACTGAAAGAGTGTGCAGAGGCACATTGCTTGCCACTCCCCATAGTGTATAGTAGGTCACTGGAGACGGGAGACCTACCAGAAATATGGAAGATGGCGAATGTGGTCCCAATATACAAAAAGGGCGACAGGCAAGAGGCCAGTGTCCTTGACTTGTATACCATGCAAGGTGATGGAGAAGATCGTGAGAAAGAATTCTAGTAACACATCTGGAGAGAAGGGACTTCGTGACAAATCTCCAACATGGGTTCAGGGAGGGTAAATCTTGCCTGGCTGGCTTAATAGAATTCTACGACCAGGTGACACAGATTAAGAAAGAAAGAGAGGGCTGGGCGGACTGCATTTTCTTGGATTGCCGAAAAGCCTTTGACACAGTACCGCATAAGAGGCTGGTACATAAGCTGGAGAGACAGGCAGGTGTAGCTGGTAAGGTGCTCCAGTGGATAAGGGAGTACGTAAGCAATAGGAAGCAGAGAATTACGGTGAGGAGTGAGACCTCAGATTGGCGTGAAGTCACCAGTGGAGTCCCTCAGGGCTCTGTACTCGGTCTTATCTTGTTTCTGATATATGTAAATGATCTCCCGCAGGGTATAGATTCATTTCTCTCAATGTTTGCTGACGATGCCAAAATTATGAGAAGGATTAAGACAGAGGTGGACTGCTTGAGGCTTCAAGAAGATCTAGACAAGCTGAAGGAATGGTCGAACAAATGGTTGTTGGAGTTTAACCCAACCAAATGTAATGTAATGAAGATAGGTGTAGGGAGCAGGAGGCCAGATACTAGTTATCATCTGGGAGATGATATTCTTCAAGAGTCAGAGAGAGAACAAGACTTGGGGGTTGATATCACGCCAGACCTGTCCCCTGCAGCCCATATCAAGAGGATAACATCAGCGACATATGCCAGGCTGGCCAACATAAGAACGGCAATTAGAAACTTGTGTAAGGAATCATTCAGAACTTTGTGTACCACATATGTCAGACCAATCCTCGAGTATGCAGCCCCAGCATGGAGTCCATATCTAGTCAAGGATAAGACTAAACTGGAAAAGGTTCAAAGGTTTGTCACCAGATTAGTACTCGAGCTGAGAGGTATGAGCTACGAGGAGAAACTACGGGAATTAAACCTCACTTCGCTGGAAGACAGAAGAGTTAGGGGGAGACATGATCACCACATTCAAGATTCTCAAGGGAATTTATAGGGTAGACAAAGACAGGCTATTTAACACACGGGGCACACGCACTAGGGGACACAGGTGGAAACTGAGTGCCCAAATGAGCCACAAAGATATTAGAAAGAACTTTTTTAGTGTCAGAGTGGTTGACAAATGGAATGCATTAGGAAGTGATGTGGTGGAGGCTGACTCCAAACACAGTTTCAAGTGTAGATATCATAGAGCCCAATAGGCTCAAGAACCTGTACACCTGTTGATTGACGGTTAAGAGGCGGGACCAAAGAGCCAGAGCTCAACCCCCGCAAGCACAATTAGGTGAGTACACACACACACACACATAATTTTAAAACCTGGTATGATAGGGAAATACGATCAGAGTCATTGCTGTAAACAACCGATGCTCGAAAGGCGGGATCCAAGAGTCAATGCTCGATCCTGCAGACACAACTAGGTGAGTACACACACACACACTCTTTGTGTATATTATCATGTGCCTTTAGGGTTGAGAGTCTGCTCTTGGGCGCCTGACAGCTGAGTGGACAGCTCTTCGGATTCATAGTCCTGAGGTTCCGGGTTCGATCCCCGGTGGAGGCGGAGACAAATGGGGAAAAATTTCTTTCACCCTGATGCCCCGGTTACCTAGCAGTAAATAGATACCTGGGAGTTAGACATCTGCTACTGACTGCTTCCTGGGGGGGGGGTGTAACAAAAAGGAAACCTGGTCGAGGATTGGGCCGCAGGGACGCTAAGCCCCGAAATCATCTAAAGATAACCTCAAGAAGACAAGATAGGTGGTATTATTGCAGGAGGTTGACTTGCCATACAGACAGACTATCCCGGGTACCGCCGGGTACCCCTAGTGATATAAACTGGTTTACAATGGATAACACACACACACACACACACACACACACACACACACACACACACACACACACACACACACACACACACACACACACACACACACTGTGGGGGAAAACCTGACTCCAATAACTAATAATTAAATATATACTTCGATAGCTATGAAGGACCACCGCTTTTTGAGAAAAAGTGGAAAACAAAATAAGACACTGGAAAAACTGATCCCAAGAACTAGTGTCCTATGGATCTTAGTGAAACTGTGTTTCTTATATAAATGGAGCCAAATTAACTTACACAAAATTGGGGGGTTATATGCTAAAAGATTAATACATCCCTAGCATTATTCTGGTGCTGATATATTTATTTATTTTATATATTTCTGTTTCTGATATATGTAAATGATCTCCCAGAGGGCATAGAATCGTTTCTCTCAATGTTTGCCGATGATGCAAAAATTATGAGGAGGATTGAAACAGAGGATGATAGTAGGAGGCTACAATATGACCTAGACAGACTGAGTGAATGGTCCACCAAATGGCTGTTGAAGTTCAACCCGAGTAAATGCAAAGTAATGAAACTAGGCAGTGGAAACAGGAGGCCAGTTACAGGATACAGAATAGGAGATGAAGTACTTAATGAAACGGACAGAGAGAAAGATCTAGGAGTTGATATCACACCAAACCTGTCTCCTGAAGCCCACATAAAAAGAATAACGTCTGCGGCATATGCGAGGCTGGCTAACATCAGAACAGCGTTCAGGAACCTGTGTAAGGAATCATTCAGAATCTTGTACACCACATATGTAAGACCAATCCTGGAGTATGCGGCCCCAACATGGAGCCCGTACCTTGTCAAGCACAAGACGAAGCTGGAAAAAGTCCAAAGGTATGCCACTAGACTAGTCCCAGAACTAAGAGGCATGAGTTACGAGGAAAGGCTGCGGAAAATGCACCTTACGACACTGGAAGACAGAAGAGTAAGGGGAGACATGATCACAACCTACAAAATCCTCAGGGAAATCGACCGGATAAACAAGGATAAACTATTCAACACTGGTGGGACGCGAACAAGGGGACACAGGTGGAAACTGAGTACCCACATGAGCCACAGGGACGTTAGAAGGAACTTTTTCAGTGTCAGAGTAGTTAACGGATGGAATGCATTAGACAGTGATGTGGTGGAGGCTGACTCCATACACAGTTTTAAATGTAGATAAGATAGAGCTCAGTAGGCTCCGGGATCTGTACACCAGTTGATTGACAGTTGAGAGGCGGAACCAAAGAGCCAAAGCTCAACCCCCGCAAGCACAAATAGGTGAGTACACACACACACACATATACTCTCTCTCTCTCTCTTTGTGTAACCTTTCATGTGCCTTTAGGGTTGAGAGGATAAGAGAGTATCTTATTTTCCACATCTGCGACTCATTTTGTGTCTCTTAGTCTCGCTACATTCCTTTGGTCTATTAATCCGGTTCTTTGTTCCTCAATCTCCTTGGTCAGTTCTTGGAATCTGGAATCTTACATATCGTGGTCATGTTTGCTCTGTTCGTACTTCTTCTGTGGGGCGAGGTCCTGTTCCCTCAGTCTCAGAATACGGCTTATATTACTCAGAATGGGGGTTTACATTATTCAGTATAGCGTTTAAAAATCCCAGAATAGGGTTTATGTTTCTTAGAACAAAGTTTATATACCCCTGAATATGGTTTATGTTTCTCAGAATAGGGTTGATATTTATCAGAATTGGGTTTACAGCACTTGAAATGGGGGTTCATATTACTTAGAATGGGGATTAAGCTACTTAAAATAGGGTTTATATTTCTCAGACGAGAGTTGACATTTCTCAGTTCTGGAAGACTTGTTGGTTGGCTTATTGCAATTGCAACGTTGTTGGTGAGGATGACAAATGTGATTAGAACCCAAAAACAGATGTATCACTGTAACAGCAGTTGGCCCGTATGTATGTGTCAGTTCCTATTGATAACCACCCAATCTCATTCGTTGTTCTATGAATATATTACCAACACAATCATACACGTCTGTTTGTATAGCGAAATGAATAGATTACAGCGAAGCGGGAGCGAGTCAGATGAGGTGAGAGAGAGAGAGAGAGAGAAGAGAGAGAGAGAGAGAGAGAGAGAGAGAGAGAGAGAGAGAGAGAGAGAGAGAGAGAGAGAGAGAGAGAGAGAGAGAGAGAGAGAGAGAGAGAGAGAGAGAGAGAGAGAGAGAGAGAGGGAGAGAGGGAGAGAGGGAGAGAGGGAGAGAGAGAGAGAGAGAGAGAGAGAGAGAGAGAGAGAGAGAGAGAGAGAGAGAGAGAGAGAGGGAGAGAGAGAGAGAGAGAGAGAGAGAGAGAGAGAGAGAGAGAGAGAGAGAGAGAGAGAGAGAGAGAGAGAGAGAGAGAGAGAGAGAGAGAGAGAGAGAGAGAGAGAGAGAGGTAAGTAACAGGTAAGGTAAGTAACTGTCACCAGGTAACAGTCGCTACTCCACGTGAGAACAATGTGCACAGTAACTATTCTACAAAAGGTAAAGTAATTATCGGGAGACAGCACTAAGCCAATCCGACTATATAGCACTTCAATGGGTCAGGATAAGGACTTGGGATGGGACGGGGGGAAAGGAATTGTGCCCAACCACTTGGACGGTCGGGAATTGAACGCCGACCTGCATGAAGCGAGTGCCGTCATGTGGTGCACAAAGCACGGGTGCTTGTTCACCGGACACAGAGGCCTCCACGCTCTGATAAATTAAAAATTTTGTGAGCAATTAATATCTTATACATTTTTGCAACTCTTATTTAATCATAATAAATTTCTTACTATGAAATCACTTCATAGAGATATAACAATATAATGACAAATAATACGGGAACTCGAAAATCAATTTGTATGTTTCAAAATAGACAAGTGTCAATGAAATTATTTTGGTTTGGTGATCGTTTGTCTATATTGTTATTAAAGGTAAGCAATAGGTTCCTGCCCTATTCCTTACCCCCAGTAATTCTATATATTTAAACTGAATAAGAATTATTTTGTTCAGCAATTACATATTTTACACTGAACAAAATTTGGCATTAAAATTTGATGTCAGTGAATAAGTTTCGAGAGATAAAGGTTATGGATTTTATTTACAGTAATAAAAACAATAATAATAATAATAATAATAATAATAATAATAATAATAATAATAATAATAATAATAATAATAATAATAATAATAATAAAAATAATAATAATAATAATAATGCACAACATAATCACATTAACTTTAACGTGATTTCTTTATTCATTTGAAGAGACGCGTTTTTTTTTTGGGGGGGGGGGTAGACTTCGTTTTCCACATCGGAGTGTATGCGAGGTAGACTCCGTATACCACATCGGAGTGTATGCGAGGTACACTCCGTATACCACATCGGAGTGTATGCGAGGTAGACTACGCATACCACATCGGAGTGTATGGGAGTTGTGTGTGAAACCTGGATATGGTATGAGCTGGATGCCTTAGGAATCCTAGAGGCGTCAGTTGAATTCCAGGTTACATTACTTGTAACATTTTGTGGTTAAGTGGTTGAAGACTCTTGCTTGTGGGTACCCAATGTGCAGGTTCGAATCTTCCTCATGGCTCCTATTGATTGTCAATAATAAAAACAATAATAATAATATGTATAAAAAATAATAGTAATTGTTAACTAATTATTGTAAAATTTTAATTAGTAACAAAAATAGCAGAAAAGAATTATAATAGTCAAACTTCAATACAATACACGAAATAAATAGACATTTATTTACTTATTTAAACTTCTGAATATCAATATTTCTTAAGGAGGTTTCTGGCCCTTTATGAATGCGTAACAACACACGTTGACGTAGGACCCCAAAGCTCCTGACACTATGTATTGTGACGTGGCATGAGCAGGGTCAGTGACTCGTGTGTACATATGGATGACGTCTGTCAGCAAAAATAACTGACATTTATGTGTAGCTGTAGCCTATTTCAGAGAACACACACACACACACATATATATAGCAGGTGTGTGGGGACGAGAAACAACCAGTACTCAGCCGAACTCCATTGGTAGCAGGCTAACTCGAGGATAAAACTGGACGCCTATTGGATCACGAAAACACACCCACGGAGTCCCGTATACCAGTAGCAGTAGCAGCCACTAGCACTCAGCAGCCAGACACCAACAGCGAGACAAAACCACCATCATGAAGTACATGTGTCTGCTGATGCTCCTCTGCTTCTCCCTGGTGAACTCCGAGGTCAGGCAAGCGGATCCCGGATCCGGTTCCGGTGATGAGCCTCCAATAACGGACGAACAAGCGGATCCGAGCGACGTCGCAGCCGGTGAGGTAGGTCATACAAATGTTTTGTTGTGTATTGAATCGTGTTCTTTTAATCCCCAATGTTCTCATTCAGATATATAAAATAATTATTATTACAAAAATAATAATACTACGAGATTTTAGGGAAACTTCGTTCTCGACTCAGTCGGGGATCCCGGGTTCGATTCCAGGACAGGACAAAAATGGTTAGGGCCATTTCCTTTTACATGATCCCTCTGTTCACCTAGCAGTAAATTAGGTACTCCGGAGTTAAGCAACTGTTGTGGGGTTGCATCCTGGGGTAGGGTCAGTAATTCGACCTCGAGGGATGGGGACGTCCATACAAGCCTAAACTAGGCTTCCTGTCCCCCACAAAACGAAAACGAATTAAAATAATATTGATATACAAAACACGTTTTATGTCTGGTGCATAAGACCCACAAGGAATGAGAAGTTGAACACCAGTACGTGTTCTTGTGTTAACATATTATCAATAGAGCACTCTAACTCATCCATAATGTGTTTATACACGAATGTGCTCGAGTTTTTTTTAAATATATATAATCTTTAAATGTAAATTGTATTAAAATAAAGCAACAAGGCCTCGTAGCTGTTGAAACCATCCAATAAGACCAGGCTCCTAAATGCCTTTTTTTTTAATTAATAAATATTTCATTTATTTCGGGAGTTGAGTATATAAAAATTAAAACAGGAGATACCTGTATATTAATAATGCTTCGTTGAGCTGACAACTCCCTCGTAAACACAATAGTCAGCACAGATGTGTGCATATGCATCTTGATAATTCATTTCTCCTGACAGCAAAAGTCATGCATATATAATGTAATTTTTTGTATAAGTTTATATAAAAACCTAAAAGGGGTACCACCTCTGGTGCAAGTGTAGGGATCCCTAGCCTCGGAGAAGAAAATATAGAGTACTCAGAGAAGACCTTGTGGATCCTCACTGAAGCGGGACCGGGCTGGGTCCCGGTACACTGAACCACTGACCGGGCCGGGTTTATACATATACATGTTGTACCTAGTAGCCAGAACGTCGTACTCGGCCTACTATGCAAGGCCCGATTTGCCTAATAAGCCAAGTTTTCCTGAATTTATATATTTTTCTAAAAAAAATCTTATGAAATGATAAATCTGGCTATTTCAATATGTATAAGTTAATTTGTTTAAATTTGAGTTCAAACTTACGTAGATATATGACCGAACCGAACCAACCCTACCTAACCTAACATAAGCTATCTAAACCTAACCTAAACTAACACAACTACGTCAATAATTTATGTTCCTAATATAATATAAAAAAATAATTAAAATAAACTAATCGGAAACAATTTAATGAAAATAAAAAAATCACTCGGCCTATTAGGCAAATCGGGCCTTGCATAGAAGGCCAAGAAGTGCGTTTATAATAATATATATATATATATATATATATATATATATATATATATATATATATATATTATATATATATATATATATATATATATATATATATATATATATATATATATATATATATATATATATATATACACATATATATTCAAATTCTGTGACATTCGAAATATAAGCACCCTCATTTACGTTAATATGTGCACATATGCAAATGTACACATAGGATAGAACGATTAATCTATGCATTTTTTCTCTTTTACAGATAATAGAGTTGGAGAGAGGGAAGCAAAAAAGGAAGAGGATAAAAAGAGAGAGAGAGACAAACGATGAACAGTGGCGTTGTTCCACAGATCCACGATGAACAGTGACGCTGTTCTACACACAAATCACAACACCTGCCATTGAGATTGTGGATCTGTTCAGCAGACTTAAAATATAGCCAGGAATCTCCTTCTCTCTCCAACAGCAGGGCTGTTGCCCTAGGCTTTAACTACATTCTAGGATGTGGTGCAGACCTTTCAGCCTTTGGATTTCTTTCGTAGATTCTTTGCTACCTAGATTTGCCAAACGAGCCTCTTTCGTAGATTCTTTGCTACCTAGATTTGTCAAACGAGCCTCTTTCGTAGATTCTTTGCTACCTAGATTTGTCAAACGAGCCTCTTTCGTAGATTCTTTGCTACCTAGATTTATCAAACGAGCCTCGTTCGTAGATTCTTTGCTACCTAGATTTGTCAAACGAGCCTGTGTAGCGGTTCAAAGTAACACATCACATGAAATGCTCACAGCAGCTTTCTGAAGCCACACAAGAAAACAATGAACTGTGGCCCCTATTTATAAACCACAAAGGAGACCCCAGGATATTTCAAAATTGAACGCAACCACTTCGAAACCTTTACATCCTTTCATCATGGCGCCTTTTTTTTCCATTTATTAAACAGTTTACGGACTTCAAAACTTCACAACCCGAAGGTTATTATTATTATAGACAACCTCGTAGTGCTTCCCAAATCATAAACTGTTGAATAAGTGTAAACAAAGTCGCCATAATAATGGAGAGATGTACAGGTTTCGTAGGTGGCTGCATAAATGAATCCTTACCCAGGTTATAAAGCCTGTTTACATAGACGTAACACGTAACTCGAATGCTGTAGCACAGATTTATTGTTAGAAAAATAGGGAAACTCAACTGGTATAGACAGTCACTTGACTACAGTGCAATACTTGCAATATATTTGCAAGTATTAAAATATTAAAGTATAAAATTTCTCCCAATTTTAGCTTTTAATTTGAATCATATAAATTTTGTCAACCTCTTATCTTTTGTTTTATTCCAGGGACAAAATTTTTAATAAAATTTAGCAACTTAACATATTAACAAAAATAATAATATAAATGTTTATCTATTTTTGCAAATAAATTTTATTTTTACATTGTTAGTAACTTCAGTGTCACAAATAAATTACAATAATTCTGGACATTACTAGTCCTGCTTTTATAAATTATATAATTTTGTAATATATTTGAGTAAATTATTAACTCAAAAAGATTACATTTTAAATTGTGTTAAATTCTGTGCATTTTATAGAGTAATTTGATAAATTATTATCTATATTTATTAGTGAAGCTCTTCTAATTTATCATTTTAAATACTCACTTCATTATAATATTAATAATATAAATATGCGCGTGCATTCTTGAGATTTACATAAACAACATACTGTATTTGCCGGGGAATACAACGCGCGTGTATTATCCACCACCAACCGGCTGTTGACGTTCACCAAATCATTGCCCCCCCTAAAAAAAAACTCTTGCAAACCCACATTAAATAAATGTATAATGAAACATTAGACAAGTGTAAAAAAGGTGACTCTTATTCACCGACAAGTGCGGAATGTAAATTGTTCTTTACTTGTAAATAATAATTTTTTTATTATATTAACTACCTTGACTCTATCTTTATGAATTTTCTATACGTTCGATCAATGTTTTTTTATAGTTTTCTCTAGAAAACTCACCATAATTTCATCTTTTCATCTCTCTCTCTCATCTTCAGATTTAAGTCATTATCATTTTATTTTTTTTCTAGACGAATCTTCATTTGACGATAAGCGCAGACCGATTTGCCATCATACATCAGTCTGCAGATTTGCAAATGGAATCTGCAGGAGACACTGCAGGCTGAATGAGATACACCTGAAGAATGGATGCACTGGTGGCAGGCACTGCAAGTGCTGCGTTGTCAAGAATCAAAGTAACTGCATTGGTTTTATGTATCTCTTTCTCTCTCTCTCTCTCTCTCTCTCTCTCTCTCTCTCTCTCTCTCTCTCTCTCTCTCTCTCTCTCTCTCTCTCTCTCTCTCTCTCTCTCTCTCTCTCTCTCTCTCTCTCTCTCTCTCTCTCTCTCTCTCTCTCTCTCTCATTGGTTTTTGTTTAACATGTCTCTCCTTCTCTTATTCCTTTATCTTTATGTGTTTCTTCGTATCTATTTAAAAATTAAATCTTAGTATCTTCTCAAGATTCTAAAGTGTCAGTTAAAAGGACAAATTGTACTTTGGAAAGTTAATTTTTCAACTTTCTTCCTTAAGGGAAGAACATAAGAAATGTAGAGAACGATTCGTGCTGCAATGTTTGAGTATGTATGAGTGCGTGCGTGTGTGTGTGTGTGTGTGTGTGTGTGTGTGTGTGTACTCACCTAGTGGTACTCACCTAGTTGTGCTTGCGGGGCTTGAGTTTCGGCTCTTTCGTTCCGCCTCTCAACTGTGTGTGTGTGTGTATGTGTAAGTCTGTATGTGTATGTTTATCAAGTGAAGGTTACCTCTTGGTTGTATCCACTTGGATTGGTCAAGCAGAGCGAAGACCTCGCCTTTTGCAAGGTCAGCGTTCGATTTCCCCGTGTGTCCAACTGACTGGGGCTCTATCCTCATATCCCAGCTCTCTCTCTCTCTCCTCACAATGAACTCACCTTAACTCTTTCGGGTTGCAGACTGCATTGTGACCAGTCAGTGCAAGAAGGCCAGCGGGGTGTGCCAGACCGCAGTGTGCAGTACCCAACAAGTTGAGATCGTCAACGGATGCTCCAAAGCCAACAGCACTGGCACCTATTCGTGTCACTGTTGCGCTCATTTTGGTTGGTCTCCCACACCTATATAGTGATACTCATTTTTATGGTGATGTTTATATTACAAAATAAAATAATGAATAAATAGGTTATGGGTTTGTAAGGAGATGAGCAGGAGATGGTGAATTGACAGGAGCTACATTTCAAGCTATTGCCAAATCATCCCTCCCTACTCACTCCGTCTTCCCTCTAATCCCTTGCTTCTCATTCCCTATTGCTCCCTTCTCACCTCTTCTTCATTTTCACTCCCTCTCTCCCTCTCTTCATCTACTTACATGTAACACCCCTCTCCCTAACCCCTCCCTTTATTCCAATATCCATCACTCCCTTCCCCTCCTCTCACCATTTCCCTCCCTCATTCTACCTCTAAACGTCCAAATCGCTTCTCTCACCCCCACCTATTTATTTAGTTTTTGTTTAAAGTCATTATGATAATTATTAACTAAGACTTCGCTACTTGCAGGGAACAGAGAAGGTGAAGACACCGAAGGAACAGGAGTGGCAGTAGGAAACGAAATAGCAGAAGGAACAGGAGACAATAAACTGGTGCCAGAAGCAGCGCCAGGGGAAGAAGAAGTGGTACAAGAAGAAGAAGAAATACCACAAGAGCAAGCAAAGGGGCCAGAATAAATGCCGAGAAGAGGAACAAGCAATCGAAAAAAGAACAGAATGTCCTATTATGCAACACACATATAGACACACACACAGACGCAGACACACACAGACGCAGACACACACAGATGCAGACACAAACAGACAGTCACACATACAAAACAACACACTACCTTTACTCCATACCAAAAACTGTCTTTTTAAACCTTCCATTGATAACTACTGCTCACCAGGTCGACTACTATGGGCTCTTGCATAACAATATAAGAGTAACACTAATCTTGAATTTGATTTACTGAAGGTCTGAAAGATCACAGATTATCTTAACACTAACCTGCTACTGATTTACTGATCGCCAGTGTTCATGCTTCAAAACTAGGTCAAAATTTTATTTTATCAATTTGTTTTGCTAATTATTTTCCGAACAAACATTTACAATTATAAATATTATGTTCAAATGTTTTGCGCTTCAACATATAAATGATTTGCGTTTAGATAATAGCTGTGTTCTGATGACCATTTTTGACAGATTGATGAAGATTAAGCCACCCAAGAGGTGGCACGGGCATGAATAGCCCGTAAGTGGTGGCCCTTTCGAGCCATTACCAGTATCAAAAGATGATACTGGATTTTTGACAATTTTGATTTTGTTTTTGTTTGGTTTTCTTCCTTTGTTAGTATTTTTCTTCACCGAGACCCAAAGTCTCGGCGAAGAAAAAAGACATTTAGAAAATATTAAGAGGTTTCTCCCTGAATATTTCTTTTTATGTTCTTCTTTTACCACTTTTAATTGGTTTTATCTATCTGTATAGCTATGTTACAGCTACAAGATAGTCAGTTACTGTTCAATAATTATTTCCAGTCCTTCAGAGTTGGGTAATGTACCCACGATACAGTAGGTGTTTCCTCTCTGGATCGTGAGGTTGTCTTTAAGTTATATTACGAGTTTTATCATGGTTATGAACAATAAAAATATAATAAATATATTCAATTCATTATCTTCTTGAACATCTAAAATAATTACACGTGGACTATTATACTGTTGCATCTTTTTGGCTGCTAACATTAAAGAATCTGTATCATGTGGTAATGATTCAATTTTCAGAATATCGCGGATAATATTCCTGCGGGAAATCCACAAGGGATACAAATCCACAAGGGATACAAATCCACAAGGGATACAAATCCACAAGGGATACAAATTCACAACGGATACAAATTCACAAACAGTACAATTTATCAAACGAAACCAATGGATACGAACTCTTGTCTCACTACTGCCTTATTGCCTAGAAAATAGTACATGTTGCAAATAGTGGAGATAACTCTCCTAGATACTAGATCAGTGCTTCATAAATTGTTGAATGATTCCTCCAAGCGTGAATTAAATTATGTTTGGGGTGAATTAAACTAGAAGGGGGGGGGGGGTGAATGCAACATGGAATGTAAATAACCCTATCCTGTTCACACCCTATCCAGCTGAACCGTATTCATAAGCCAGCCCGTTCTCGCGAGCGTTCCCAACGTCACTAAACTGTTGTACTAAAATTATCCAAACCCTAACCTAACCTATCCGAAGACCCACGAACAGAAAACGGCACATCACCTCAATTTTGTGAGCCGCTGCCCATTTCAGTACATTAGTTTTTAGCCTTGGTAGATTTTTTATCAAGATGCGATTGACTCTTCTGGAGAATGGGTCGCCTGAGCAGCCTAGCTAATGCGGCCAAGTAAGATTAAACAATCTTAGGAGACCAGAGCTAGGGAAGACGGTTTTAGGCAGTGTCAATGGGTTCCACGACTTTGGACGGGTGTGTGAGAGAGGCCTAGGGAGAACACAGAAGGGGGGGCGTGAGACGGGTATCTGGTCACTCACTCCACGTGGATAATGTCATCATCTATGCACTGAGTGAGTTCCATACATTGAGTGAGTTCCTGTCCCTATTTTCTAACATCAGAAGCATTGACTATTCTATCTCCCTTGTTAGGCAAACGATAGCATAGGGTTTCAGTACAAAAGATAGAAATAAACTTTAGTAAAAGCCGTTATCTACTGTTTTTCAATACACTCCTGCCTGTTCTAATAGAGGGGCTGTTAGGTACACGTATTAATGGGTTACTTCCTACTTCCTTCAGGGTGGGCGCTGATATTCGTTTAGTGTTAAATTATCTCCCTCCACGATATTCAGAAGAAATTATCAGAGTATCTCTCTCTCTCTCTCTCTCTCTCTCTCTCTCTCTCTCTCTCTCTCTCTCTCTCTCTCTCTCTCTCTCTCTCTCTCTCTCTCTCTCTCTCTCTCTCTCTCTCTCTCTCTCTCTCTCTCTCTCTCTCTCTCTCTCTCTCTCTCTCTCTCTCTCTCTCTCTCTCTCTCTCTCTCTCTCTCTCTCTCTCTCTCTCTCTCTCTCTCTCTCTCTCTCTCTCTCTCTCTCTCTCTCTCTCTCTCTCTCTCTCTCTCCTCTTTTTCCTTACTAAGGAAATGAGGAGAGAATTGCATGAATGGCAGGGAAAAGTGCAAACTTCCTTGGTAGCTCGTCCGAGGCATCTGTTTGAGTGTTGGGGCGAGTTCCACCAGGCTGTTGGTGCCGTGAGTGCCCATGCATATGTATGGTAATTAATGTCTCCAATCCATTAGTGGAGTAGGAATCGCAGCTGCGACTCACAGTAATTATCAAAGTAATTAATTTCCCCAAGGGCGGCCAATTACTTGGACTGGACGGTAGAGCGACGGTCTCGCTTCATGCAGGTCGGCGTTCAATCCCCGACCGTCCAATTGGTTGGCCACCACTCCCCCCCCCCCAGACTCACCTCAAGGTGCATGTGTGCCTTGCATGTATTAAGGAATATATGGACCTGAAGGACTGTTGGCATTGTACACATTATTCTGTAATACATCAGCTCATTCTATAATACATTACCTTATTCTGTGATACATCAGCTTATCCTATAATACATCAGGTTATTATATAATAAAACTTATTTTTCTATAATACACCAGGTTATTCTATAATACATCAGATTATTCTGTAATACATCAGTTTATTCTAAACTACATCTCGTTATTCTATATACATTAGATTATATAATACGTCAAGATATTCTTTAATAATTTAGATTATTCTATAATACATTAGGTTATTCTATAATACTTTAGATTATTCTATAATACATCAGGTTATTCTATAATACGTCTGGTTATTTTATAATAAATCAGCTTATCCTATAAAACATTAGCAAATTCTATAATACATCAGCTTTTTCTATAATAATCAGCTAATTCTATATACATCAACCTTTTCTATAGTAGGTCAGCTAATTATATAATTCATCAGCTTTTTCTATAATACATCAGGCTATTTTATAATAAACCTTGTTATTCTATAATACATCACCCTTTACTATAATACATCATGTTATTATATAATACATCAAGTTATTCTTTAATACATCTGGTTATTCCATAATATGTATTTTTTCTATAATATATCGTATTATTCTATAATACATCAGCTTATTCTATAATACATCAGCTTATTCTATAATACATCAGCTTATTTAATAATACTTCAACTTATTCTATAATTCGTCAGCTAATTCTTTAATACATCAGGTTATTAAAGAATAATAATACATCTTATTTTTTTATAATTCATCAGGTTATTCTTAACATTTCTATAACAAATAAGGTTATTCTAAAATAAATGTTTTACACTTACCTTGCCAAGTTTCTATCTCAAAGTTTTCTTATAAATAAACTAGCATTATTGTGCTGTATCATCATACACTTTTTTTGTAATAACTGTTAATGATTTTATTTTGCTTGACTCTCTTCATTTTTTTTTAGATATTTTATGATATGAGTCCAAAAAAATTACATTTTTGTTCCATATTATCATATAGCATTTTTTTTTTACTTTTGTGTGGGTGGATAGAGGGAGGGAATTGGTGTAATGTAGATATTCTGTTTCTCTTTTTAATGCTTGTTATGATGATATTTTGTCACCCAGATTCCTAAATCCTCTCAGAAAGCACCTAAATGGTCATAGAATATCACCTAGAGTCCTAACTCCTCTCAGAAAACATCTAGATGGCCACAGAATATCACCTAGAGGGGCTAGAATCTCTCAGAAAACATGATGGTCACAGAATATCACCTAGAGGGGCTAGAATCTCTCAGAAAGCATCTAGATGGTCACAAGAGGCAAAACAAATGCAAAATTAAAGCCAACATTTTATGGGGGCCACAACTCACTTAAAACTTCTAACTTCTAACTTAAAACAAACTACCATTTCAAAATGCTGGTGACTGGTCTGTCAAAAAAATAAAAAATAAATCTTTTTCATCTCATCCTTCACCTTATAATCTCTCACCTCAATTCTCACTCACTTTTACCCTAATTCATTTCAACGCATCCTCATCTCAACTCCCCCTCTCCTAACCCTCTCCTAAACTCCCTTTCCTTCATCTCAATAATACACGAGTTGTATTACAAACCATTGAATTGTAAGAAGCAGGAGGAGGGACCCCAATCATATGTGGCATTCTTCCAAGAAGGAGAGTTGGAAATAAATGGTTGTCTAGGGCACTTAGAATTAATTGTCGACTAGACAAGTATTGCAAAGCAAATGCAATATCATTCATTGATAACTGGGAACACTTCGATGGAAAGAATGAAACATTTCCCGTGGTGTAGTGGTAAGATACTCGCCTGGCGTTTCGCTAGCGCTTTGTCCTGGGTTCGTATCCTGGCCGGGGAGGATTTACTGGGCATTAATCCTTAACTGTAGCCTCCATTTACCCAACAGTAAAATGGGTACCTGGTTGTTAAACGATTTGGTGGGTCGTATTCCGGGAAACATAAGATTAAGGATTTGCCCAAAGCACTACACGTGCTAGTGACTGTAGCAAGAATGTAAGAACTCTTGTATATACAAATAAATAAATAAAAAATATGATTGCCCGAGATTGTTCATTTACCTTAGGCAAGAGTTGTTGCCTTTAGCAATCTGTTGAAATCTGAGGTTGGGAGAAGTTTGTTTGGGGGTAAACTGTTAGATGATAGAGGTATGGGAATGGATTGTGGGAAATTTTTACCCACCATATCTAATTATCATCTAAGAAATGTATAATTTCTATACCATATCTATATCATATCAAAATTGTATCAAATCATATCAAAATCATATTAGAATCATTATATATTCATTATACATCTTGATCCTAGATGACAATGCCACTATGATCATGTACGCCATAGGGCTCTATAGATGCCTACGTGACTTTGTGCATGATCTCTCAAAGATCCAGAAGCTTCTAGAAGGATTTGTTAATTAAAAAAACTATTGGAACATTAATCGCTTCCGGTAGGGATTATAAATCGAATCCTTAATAAGAATCAGTGGTACTATCAAGTACTACTTTTAATCTTTAAATCCTATATCTAATTATATTACAATCACATGTTATCTCAATCATATGTCTAGACAGTAAAAATAATCAATCAATGTTCATTGAAAGCTACCTCTTAAGGGAGAGGGAGGGGCATCTTGGGAACAAGAAGCTCACACAAGACACCCCGCGGCACTACGCCTTTGTTTACAACTGAGTGAACAGTGATGGATCCTTAGCTAACATTATTTAGCTCAGGACATCTTATCTAATTATCTTTATCACCAGTGAATACTCTCTAGAACTGGGGGAATACCTGGACAGTATATCTACAAGGAATATCTCTAGAACATTTATATCTATAAGTGTAGAGTGGAGCACACAGTGACTTGTCTCCACCTTCACCATCAACCCTCATCTTTTTGCAAAGCAGTTAAAGAAAAATCACGTAGCAACACTACTAGTACATCATACAGCAACGCTGTTATATAAAATATCGTGCCTAAACTTGCGACAAGAGAGTTATCAAGTCTGGCACACTGTCAGACAGGCACCCAGCAAACAGAGAAGTATATTGAGGTTATTTTGGTATATAGTTGGCCAATTGTATGCTTGTGTGACTTTAATATCCTATAAGTCTGTCTGTCGGTTATAAAGCGAGGCAACGCCTCATATCTCAGTAAGTTTATTAATATTGTAGGGCAGTAGTAGAATCTTTATCCAAGCACTAGACCTCATGAGTGTCCATTGTGTTAGAAAAGATTCAGTTGCAATAAATATACAAGACATCATAAGTGTCCATGGTGTTGGAAGAGATTCAGTCTGACTGACTGTATCTAATCATATAAATTGAATATAAATACATTGCATATATACTTGAATATATAAATTAAGTTAACAATTGCTTGCTTAGTTATTTTTAAGTTATCATATAAGTTCATTTAATTTAATATAATCTTTAGTACTTAGTAACAGTACTTAGACTACATTTAAAGTCATTCATTATACTTTTACAATTTAAATTGTTGTTTATAGTATAAGAATATATTGGCTGTTAATAGTTATGGTACTAGGGTAGACTATGTACATGTTTAAATCTCTGATTTAAACAGAGCCAGTGTTCAGTCATATAACTGAATTTATTAAATCTTATCCTTGTATAAAATACAAGCTGATGTGAGAATCCCTGTCTACAGGTGGACTGGAACGTCTATCAACTAATTCATTCACCCCACCTGTCCCTTACAGCCCACAATCTGTCATTAGGAAAAGAGGAGCTAGGATTTACAACCCTAGCTAGAGATTTTAGTTGAATTAATTTGCAGACAGTAATTTTATAATTTAGTTCAGTACAATTCCCTGGTAGTCTCCTCTCATATCAATCCCAGCAGGTTTTTCCCACGCGGATTTAGTAAAAGGAGGTAATAAAAGGCAGGTATTAGAAAATATACAATCTGGGTAAAAGAACAAGGATGGAAATGGGCCTCAACATAACAAAACCCTTACAGTGTACTACATAAATAGTACGAGTCTTAGAAACCAAATAAACGGCTTAAATACGCCTGTCTGCACAGAAATCTTAGATATTACAGCTGTAACCGAGCTGTGGATCAAGATAGAAAAACAGGGAATTATTAGGTGAATATATAAAATTAGGAGGTTCAAATTATTCTAATTACAATAATCTCTGGTGATCACAAGCAAATGGATGATAGATTAGACTAGAAGGAAGGAGTATCTATATATGCTACGGAAAATCTATTTTGAAGTGTCAAAAAGGCGAACCAAACTGAGCCACATACAGCAGTAATTGGGTTAATACTAAATGAAAATAGAAATAATCTAATAATAGGAGTTATATACAGACCACCGAACTGCGAGAGAATGGAAACAAAGCGTGAATGTCTCCGAACATCTGGGTAAAACAGTGTTTGCTTTTATGGTGACTTTAATTTTACTTTAATAAACTGTATTAACAAAACACCGAAGTAGATTTTTTTTTTAGAATTTGTTAATGACTGCTTCCTTAAACAACATATTAAGGAGCCGGCACGGTAAAATAATGCAGGCGATGAGTCACAATAACGTGGCTAAAGTAAGTTGACCAGACCACACACTAGAAGGTGACGAGACGACGACGTTTCGGTCCGTCAATCGAATTGAGAATGTCCAGGACGGATCGAAACGTCGTCGTCCCTTCACCTTCTAGTGTGTGGTTTGGTCAACGGTAACATAATATTTTAGACAGTGTTAACTAACAGAGAGACAAATAAATTACCTCGAAACAGAGAGTGAGCTAGGAAAAAGAGAGTGAGTTAGGAAATAGAGAGTGAGCTAGGAAACAGAGAGTGAGCTAGGAAACAGAGAGTGAGTTAGGAAACAGAGAGTGAGTTAGGAAACAGAGAGTGAGCTAGGAAACAGAGAGTGAGCTAGGAAACAGAGAGTGAGTTAGGAAACAGAGAGTGAGCTAGGAAACAGAGAGTGAGCTAGGAAAAAGAGAGTGAGCTAGGAAACAGAGAGTGAGTTAGGAAACAGAGAGTGAGTTAGGAAACAGAGAGTGAGCTAGGAAACAGAGAGTGAGCTAGGAAACAGAGAGTGAGCTAGGAAACAGAGAGTGAGTTAGGAAACAGAGAGTGAGCTAGGAAACAGAGAGTGAGCTAGGAAACAGAGTGAGCTAGGAAAAAGAGAGTGAGTTAGGAAATAGAGAGTGAGCTAGGAAAAAGAGAGTGAGCTAGGAAACAGAGAGTGAGTTAGGAAACAGAGAGTGAGCTAGGAAACAGAGAGTGAGCTAGGAAACAGAGAGTGAGCTAGGAAACAGAGAGTGAGCTAGGAAACAGAGAGTGAGCTAGGAAAAAGAGAGTGAGCTAGGAAACAGAGAGTGAGCTAGGAAACAGAGAGTGAGCTAGGAAACAGAGAGTGAGCTAGGAAACAGAGAGTGAGCTAGGAAACAGAGAGTGAGCTAGGAAATAAAATTGAACATGGAATTGAACAGATGTGTAAGAATTTTTTTTATTTAGGTGTCTGATTTCCGAAAAGCAGATTTTGATGGATTAGGGAGTTCTTTGGGAAGGATAAATTGGGCAGACTTAATCAGTCAAGTATCTTTAAGTATATTTTCTGCATTCGTGAATAACTGGCCTGAGAAGGGTCATTGAGGGTCCTATGCATATGCGTGTCCTCTCTATCCTCCTCCAATCCTCTCTGTCCTCCTCCAATCCTATGCATATGCGTGTCCACGTGGCACTAGACACAGGTGTCATTTTAAATAATACGTGGAAAACCTGTAAATTTTGCAGTAAATCTATCACCAAACACCTGTTCCTCTGACAGGTGCATTGTGAACTGCGTTTGACCTTTCCATTATATAAGCGTGCATGTGCTTCAGCCAACACCAGTTGCTTGCCATCGCAGTTTGCTGAGGCCAGCCACACCGAACACAGCAACGAAGATTTGGTCGTCTGCGCTACAGCTGAGAGCGAGAGAGAGAAAAATCAACAAAATCCGGACAGCTAGCAACAGAGAGCTAGACATCACCACCATGAAGTCCATATATTTGCTGATGTTCTTCTGCGTCTCCCTGGTGAACGCCCAGGCCGATCAGAACGCCCTGGTTGATCAGAACGCCCAGGGCGATCAGAACGCCCAGGGCGATCAGAATAACCAGGCCGATCAGAACGCCACCGTGGATGCTCAACCAGATCAACAAATCGCAAATGACCCATCTGGTAAGGTAAGTTAGATTCTTCCCGTTCAAGGCTTCTTCAGACGCAAGGCATGTAAATGATTCTTGCAAAGTTCTGGAGAGAACTTTGAGTTCCCCGCATGTGGGAACGTCAATCGAGTGGTCCCTTCACTCGTCCACAGATGCACTAAATAGTGAACAAAACTCAGGGGTAACTATTTGTAACTCAACATCCATTACCGACGTTACCTGATGTCACACAGGTAACCCACAGATGTCTTCCCCTTGTACTCGCGTCTGTTTAAACAGAAATTCTCACTATCGTGAATATTACGAATCTTTTAGAGTCCGAGAGAGAGCCTCGAACGAGCGTGTTTGAGAACCTAACTTCAGTAGTTGAAGGATCTCGTCGGATAAGCGAAGAGTTAATTACAACACTTCGTTATTTCGGGTGGCATTTCGGGCGACATTTCGGGTGACAAGCGTAGTCCTGACATGTGGTTAGGTCTTGAACGGCCTCCTATGGCCTAATTAGCCTTCTGCAGATTCCTTCATTCAAAAAATTATCTTCGTCGTCTTGTAGCGATTTTGAGCCATCTGTTGAATTTATTTCCCGTCCTATTTTTGCATCTTCTGCAAATTGGCAAATATCGAATGTCATAATATCGATTTGGATAATTGCGAATATATTTTAAAGTATAACAACAATGTTCAAAGTATAATAGCTGTGTTCAGACGCTGTATGTTTAGAATCAAACACTATCGCATCGACTCTAAATTTATATTTGTCTGTATGTCAGTTTAATTTCCCAAGACAACGCCTGCTAATGTTAGCGAATATTCTCCTCGGCTTCGTGTTTGGTGCTGGGTTTAAGGCCCATCAACCTCGGGAGGGTTGTTTTAGGCCACCACAACAGCCTACTGACCAACCAGCAAGTATACTTTAGTCCTGAACATTGTCAAGGCTTAAAGTCCCAGTTTTAAGTACACCGAGAACCGGGTGAACCTCTCAGTGTATATCCACTGAAAAACTAGGTACCCTGTCAGTGACTGTACACAGAGAGTCACTGTGTTACACCTCTCAGGGTATAGCATATACACCGAGAAGCGGGGTCCACCTCTCAGTGTATACACAACGAGACACGGAGTTTAACTTTTCTTGTGACATCAGATGTGTTGTGGTTTACTATTTATTTTCGACATCAGAACTGGTGTAGTTTACCTTGTGAAGTGTTCAAGCTGTAATGCCAAATACATTGGAAGTATACACCTCACTGTACCTAAATTGGACCACCCAACCCGTCGCATTTTTTGACGAAATCGACCAATCAGTTAAAAATGCGACAAATAATCAACCAAAGCACTGTAATATTAACGTATAGGTCAAACAACAGCCACCAGGCTGTTGCACCAAGTAACAGCCTGGTGGACCAATCTCTCACAAGTCAAGCCTGGCCTTGGGTTGGGCTTGGTGAGTAGAAAAACTCCCAGAACCCCATAAAGCAGGTAAGGTGGGTTTATTGGGCTTGTACGTTTCTGGCTAGGTTAAACAGTTGCATTTTTTTACGGAGTGGCGACTGGAGACTGACCCGGAGACTATGTCACATTCTCAAGTGTGTGTGTGTGTGTGTGCGCTCACGCCACGCACCCCGTTTGCTATTCCGTAACAAATGTGACTGTTTTGTCTAACCTATCAAGGCAGATAGATGCATAGTCAAAGTCCTATTTTACGTTACTTGAATTTTGACTAATACGTCGCATTTTATTAGTTTATTTGTATTTTATTTTATTTTATTTTACCAATTAGTGTTAGATGAGACTGGAAGTTAATATCTTAGAATACATAATATTGGAAAAATGAGTTTAAGATCCCAGGAGTCCAGGACGTTCTTGGTTATAAACTAATTCATTTTGGAAATATGCGGTTCCATTTTAACGGAGATAGTATACATGAGTTTATATATCTATACTGAGAGAGTAAATATGATTTTATATATGTATACTGAGATAGTAAACACGAGTTTATGTACATGGAGATAATATACGTGAGTTTATATATCTATACTGAGAGAGTAAATATGAGTTTATATACTGTATACTGAGATAGTAAACATGAGTTTATATATGTACACAGAGAGTAAACAGTTTACAAGTGAAGGCAGCATGAACACACCACAGGTGAAGGGGGCGTAAGTCGTAAATATCTTCCCGGCACCTAACGTCACTTGTACTTAACGTGTTTGTATATTACACACACACACACACACACACACACACACACACACACACACACACACACACACACACACACACACATACATACACACACTTTCTCTCTTTGTTAATTAAATCATATTTTATCTTTTCATTGCAGATGTGAGGCTTGAGAGAGCGGGAGCGGCAGAGGCAGAGAAGCACGAGGGGTCTGTGTGTTACAAAGAATTGGTGACATCACTGAGAACTGTGTTACTGTTACATAGATTTGATTATAACACCAAGGACTATGTTGCACAGTGTTAGTCAAAACATCGAGCGCAAGGGTTGAGGCACGATGGCATAGGCTTTGCCACATTACCAGTCACGGTGCCATAGGCTTTGCCACATTACCAGTCACGGTGCCATAGGCTTTGCCACATCACCAGTCACGGTGCCATAGGCTTTGCCACATTACCAGTCACGGTGCCATAGGCTTTGCCACATCACCATTCACGGTGTCATAGGCTTTGCCACATCACCAGTCACGATGCCATAGACTTTGCCACATCACCAGACACGGAGCCACAGACTTTAGTTCAGAACTATAAAGTAAACTCAGTGTATATTGACCGTAAAGCGCGGTATACCTCACAGAGTATCCACCAAAAACTACCCAGGCTCACAAATACCAGCTCGTCCTCTTGAGTTGTCACAACGGACTGAAAATGATGTACTAAATTGCCCGAACCTAAACTAACCACCCCCACATATAGAAAACAGGAATGTTAGTGAGTCGCTGTGATATACAGTACATCATATTTTGTCCATTGGAGATTTTGAGGTCAAATTGCGATGTATAACACAAGAGGTGCAGGTTGTATGTGACAGGAGGGCTTGTTGTATGAGACTAGAAGGCAGGTTGTATGCGAATGAAGCTGTATTAACGCATTTAAGCAATTCAATGACGATTTTACAAGAATAACGTACTTGTTGAATAGTCAACTTGGCTGTACTTGGATTTCAAGAGACACGACGTAACCATGTTGCTGCATCAATATTATGACGTTTGTTTCGACGTAAACAAAGAACGTTGTGGTTGCATTGTGTGTGTTTGTTGAAACAGAGACTTTCATTGTTTGGTTTTTATATGAATATTCTATTTGGCAGATAAACCTAAAAACAAATATTAAATATTTCAGATTTTGTCTAGAAAACCCGAACAAATTACTTTAAATACAGTGGATTAACGATGTGATTATCGTTTGTGCCTAGTAAATGGCCTAGAATTAATTGTAGTTTTACTCTATCTAGGCTTGGACGAATTATATATTGATTTTCTCCAGACTTGGACCAATTATAGTTTGATTTCGTCTAGGCTTGGGCCAATTATAGTTTTATTTCCTCTAAGCTTGGACCAATTATAGTTTTATTTCCTCTAAGCTTGGACCAGTTATAGTTTTATTTCCAGTAAGCTTAGACCAATTATAGTTTGATTTCTTCTAAGCTTGGACCAATTATAGTTTTATTTCCTCTAAGCTTGGACCAATTATAATTTTATTTCCTCAAAGCTTGGACCAATTATAGTTTTATTTCCTCTAAGCTTGAACCAATTATATATTGATTTTCTCTAGTCTTGGACCAATTATAGTTTGATTTTCTCTAGGCTTGGACGACAAACGTCATCCTGAAGTGGGCCACGACCACCACCACGACCACGGGTGTTTCCCTCACACACTATGCCACGACCACGTTGGCGTGTGCAGGCGGTCGTGTCATGTCAAAGAACACGAGGTGCATGGTGGGTGTGGCGGAGGCGGTGGGTGTAGATGCTGCGCTCATAACCGTCACAGTGAGTGTTTTCCTCCTGTTGTTGCTATATATATATATACATTCATTATTTGTTCCCCTTAAGAGAAGACTGTAATCATTCAGTCGACTGCACTAATTCAAGGAACATTGTTGTGTGTAAATCTGGTATTCTGAAGAACATATAACGTGAACGATCATTTATATAGCGTAGTGAATTGGATTATGTAAATGTAAGACCAGGACTTTGTAAATTAGATAGATTTATAAATGGTAACGTTTGTGAATGGTATAAAATTATTATCAGAATGAGTCAGTCTGCCATTGCTCTATTTCCATTATTCAATTTAGAGGTCACTTCCATTACTCGATTTTACATGTCACTTCCTTGTGTTTCTGTGGGAGGGTTATATAAGCCGTCGCCCTTGCATTGTCTGTCTACTGTACTCCTTGAATATATATATATATATATATATATATATATATATATATATATATATATATATATATATATATATATATATATGTATATATACATATATATATATATATATATATATATATATATATATATATATATATATATATATATATATATATATATATATATATATATATATATATATATATATATATATCATCGCTTGTCATCGTGTCAAGGGCTGTCTCATTCCTGCTACTCAAAACGGCTTGGTCCCGCCTCTCAACTGTCAATCATCTGGTGTACAGGTTCCTGAGCCTACTGGGCTCTATCATATCTACATTTGGAACTGTGTCTGCCTCCACCACATCGCTGCATAATGCTTTCCATTTTTTTTTAACTAATTTGACACTTATTTTTTTATTTTTAATGTCTGTTGCTCATTTGAGCACTCAGTTTCCACCGGTGTCTCCTTGTGCTAGCACCACCTGTGTTAATTTGTCTTTACCTATCCTATCACCTGGGCCTGACTTATGTGGGATACAAAATTCTGAAGGTTTTTATGTGTGTATATTTATTATTTGTACTATTTGTATTTACTATTTGCATCTGTAGAATCGAGTTATTAGCTCTTGGACCCCCGCCTTTCTAACCAATAATATTTTTCCACTATTATGTTTACTATATATATTTATCTCTAACACACGCGCACACACACACACACATCCCTAGGAAGCAGCCCGTAGCAGCTGTCTAACTCTCAGGTACCTATTTACTGCTAGATGAACAGGTGCACCAAGGTGAAAGAAACTCTGCCCATTTGTTTCTGCCTCGGCCGGGGATCGAACCCGGGCCTTAGGACTGCGACTCCCAAGCGCTGTCCACTCAGCCGCGAGGTGTATATCACAGAATATACTTAAGTAAGAAGTAAGGTGTATACATACCTAGTTGTACTTACCTAGTTGTGCTTGCGGGGCTTGAGCTCTGGCTCTTTGGTCCCGCCTTTCAATTGTCAATCAACTAATGTACGGTTTCCTGAGCCTATTGGGCTCTATCATATCTTCACTTGAAGATATTCTTAGCTCTTGAACCCTGCCTTCCTCAGCGCGTCTGTGTGTGTTTCTGTGTGTGTGGAACATGTTCCCATAATCATCTTGTTTACCTAATGTGAGAAATATTATCTTACAGGATGTTCTGACAGTTTCGAGTGTAGAAAGCACGATGGACGGTGTCGCAAAAACGGATGTAAAAATTTCGAGAATGAGCTTTTGCACGTATGTGGACAGAGGTGTTCCTGCTGTATCCGTAAGTGTGAGTATACCACAAAGGGAATGTGATTTAGAATATAACTACATGTTATAATCCGTGCACATGATAGTTTTCCATATTCATCCTCACGTTCTTAATAACTATTCTCCCTTGTTCATCCTAAAGTAATTAAAGACCTGATTATGTGCTAATTGGAAGATCGTGTTCCAGGGGCGACTTTATCGGTCATATTCTCCTGGATGCTGTTGCAATATGTATCTAGGATAGATATTGCATTATATTAACTTTAAATTATTTATATTAAGTGGATTGGAAGGTATACTCTTAGACAAGTTTATCGGTAGATAGACCACAATCCGGATTGGGAGTTATGTATTGACGGGTAAGCTAATTATAGACGGTCCGGTCTCTTGATTTGTCACAACGGACGTACTACAAAGTGCTAACCTAACTAGAAATGCACAGAACCCAAACAACCCACCTAACCTAAGCAAATCAATATATATAGAAAACGTGGAAATTTGTGAGTTGCTACTTTTCATAGTACTTTGTAATTTGTACGTTGGGGACCAAAATGTACAAATTGATACGTAATAGTCTAAAATTTGGTCTAAAATAAACGTAATAGTCTAAAATTTGGTCTAAAATAAACGTAATAGTCTAAAATTTGGTCTAAAAAGACTAACATTTTTGGTTTGGTCTAAACATTTGATCTAACGTTTGGTCTAAACTTTTGATCTAAAATTTGAAAACATTAATCTGCTGTTTTCTTTTTTTCTTCAATTATAAATTCAAAAAAGGCTGTACAAATTTTATTACACAAGGCAAAACCTTATGGGTCCTGATTTAGTCTCCGGGCAAGACAGAAACGGGTGAGCAAGTCTTATTTCACCTGATGCCTCTGTTTACCTATCAGTAAAATAGGTACCCCCCCGGGGGTTAGGCAACTGTTATGGGGTTGCATCCTGGGGAAGGTTAGTAGTTGACCTTAATAACCCTAAATACAGGTTTCCTGTCATCCGAGATCGGGAATTATACTAATAGGATCCAAAAATATGAACATTACAAAAACGAGAATTATATAAAAGCAAATAATAAAAACATTAATTATAAAAACAGGGATTATAAAAAACAAGAATGATAAAATACAGGAATTATATGAAACGAGAATTATACAAACGAAAATTATATTACTGTGTTTAAACAATATATTTCCTTTCTGCCAGCATTTCCACCTCGTGACGCAGAGGGTGAAACAAATACCGTGGGAGGCGTAGCGGAGGGGGCAGAAGGAGAGGCAGAAGAAGAAGAAGAAGAAGAAGAAGAAGAAGAAGAAGAAGAGGAAGAAGAGGAGGAAGGCGGAGAAAAATAAGAAGAAGCAGCTAAAGGAGATAATTAAAATACTGAAGGAACAAAGGATATGAGAGAGTTAAGGACAAGTGAAACATGGATGGGTGATCAATGAGAGCTTGTGCAGTTGAAAATACACACCCACACACACACCTGCACACACACACATGCACGCACGCACACATACACCCAACCCACACAACTCAGCAACCACAATCAACAACCACAATCACCATAACACTCCTGTCATAGATGTTAACCATTAGCTTAAGAAACACATAATAAAGAAACACAACCATGATATATATATATGATATATAACATGGTTGTGCTACCATGCTATGATTATGTGCTGAAGCTATGTAGAGACACACATATTCTCTTTAATTAACGCTCACCTGAACCCTATTTTGCTAGTTTGGGTTTATTTTTATTATGTTTCAATATTTATTATTGAGTTGTAATTTGATCATTAATTCCTGAACACTGCAATGTGTGGTTTGACTTATATTAAACTAGAAATACATATTTCTCGCCGTTTTCATATATTGAGTTTTTTAAATTATCGGGAAATAAAACCAGTGTTTGATCATTCATATGATGATTGGATTTTGTTATATATTAATTTATTTGTATGGTAAAAATTCAAGAGTTTTGGATTACTTCATTGTTTTAAGCAATAAAAAAATTAAAATAATCAAATAATTATTTTTTACAAACATTCTAAATTTTTGTCAATGAATATTAATAAACATTATCTACGTAAAAAATGTAGAAAATAAATTGGGAAATTTAAGGGTGAGTGATGCATTCGTTGTATGGATGAATGAGGCATTCTTTACTTCAGTGAATAATGAGTACACTGTGAGGGGGGGGGGGTACGCGACCACCTCCACCCCCCCCCCCTCTTTCTTCAACTTTCATCCCTAGTGTATACATACATTATGAGGTGAAGCTAACATCTCAGTGTACATACAGTATTAGAGGTAATCTATCAGTATACATACAGCGAGGCATGTAGCATGCTTATCATTGTATAAACTGCAGGTGTATTCTAATTCTCAGTGTACATATATATATATTAAGAGTTGCAGTAATTTCAGTGTACAAATAGCAAGTGGTGTAGGAAATGTCTTAAAGCTTTAAGAGATGCAAGGCAATTGGGTGAATTGATCAAGAGGATAGATATGGATGGCTCGAAGAATGACATCTATCCTGACTTGATATAAAGAGCATTTTTAAAGTCGAGTTTACCTCGCTTATTTTGGTCCTATTAGCACTGTGTGTTCGAGTTTCGAGTGCTGCACCTTCACCACCTATGGAGGGGGGGGGAGGGGAAGAGGATCCCCAAACCCAAGCTGATGAGGATTTAACACTGGTTGCTGCTTGGCTGACTGATCTCACCGTAGCTAAGACTGCGGTGAGATCAAGCAGCCTCCCATTATCTCTTCCTACTATTCTCCTTCTATCTTCCTGTGTGTGTGTGTGTGGAAAAATTAGTTAGTAGTTAGTAACAGTTGATTGACAGTTGAGAGGCGGGCCGAAAGAGCAAAGCTCAACCCCCGCAAGCACAACTTGGTGAATACAATTAGGTGAAATCACACACACACACACACACATCCCCAGGATGCAACTCGTAGCAGCTGTCTAGCTCTCAAGCACCTTTCACCAATTTACCGCCAGGTGAACAGATATATCAGGTAAAAGAAACTCTGCCTATTTGTTTCAGCCTCGCCCGGATATCGATCTCGGGCCTATAGGACTACGACCCCTAAAGCGATGTCGACTCGGCTGCGCATGCGCGCATGAGAATGAACACGCGGGTGTTTGAGAGCAGAAACCATTGAAAATATGAGTTTTTGAGTATTTTGTTAATAAGAACACCTGAACACATGTTCCCTGCGTGTTCTCTTTTCTCTCACTGGTCTTGTTAATTAATATATTCTAATCCTTTGTGGAAGCGAATTGGTTTTCCTGTAACTAACCCAGCTCCCCCCGCCCTCCCAACCTTTGTCTGGCACAGTTGGCTGTTGTGGGGTTCCTGCGGCACTGTTGATTGCTGTCAAGATATATTTATGTTATGGCCGCCACAGCTGGAACTCCTGGGGCCTCTACGTTATACCTCTTTTGTTTCCTCTCGAGCTCTATCTGTTAGTTTCATATTATTTGTATTTGAGTTAGTTCTGATTATTAAATAATTTGATTTTATATGGGGCTTTGGGCCTATCAGTCTCTGGGGGGCTATTAAGGTTAATCAACCTCTGGAGGGTATATTAAGGCCTTTCAGCCTCTTGAGGGTTATTAAGACCTGTCAATCTCTGGAGGGTTATTAAAGCCTGTTAACCTCTGGAGGGTTATTAAGGCATAGCAGCCTTTTTAGGGTTATTAAGGCCTATCAGCTTCTGGAGGGTTGTTAAGGCATAACAGCCTCTTTAGGGTTATTAAGGCTTATTTAGTTTTAATAACCCTCCAGAAGTTATTAATAACCTCTGGCGTGTTATTAAGGCTTGTCAACCTCTGGAGGGTTATTAAGCCCTGTTAACCTCTGGAGGGTCATTAAAACTTTTCACCCTGTGGAGGGGTTATTAAAACTTGTCAACCTCTGGAGGGTTATTAAAACCTATCAACCTCTGGAGAGTTACTAAGGCCTATCAACCTCTGGAGAGTTATTAAGGTCTATCAATTTCTGGAGAGTTATTAAGTCCACCATAATAACTTACTGACCAATCATGCGGCAAGTATCATTCCATCTTGGACATAGTCTAGCTGAAAAGTAAACTAACTCTCAATGCATAGACACCGAATATGCATTGAGAGTTAGTACCTCATGTACTAACCTCATGTACCTCATGTTAGTACCCCATGTACCTCATGTTAGTACCTCATGTACCTCATGTTAGTACCTCATGTTAGTACCCCATGTACCTCATGTTAGTACCTCATGTTAGTACCTCATGTTAGTACCCCATGTACCTCATGTTAGTACCTCATGTTAGTACCTCATGTTAGTACCTCATGTTAGTACCTCATGTACCTCATGTTAGTACCCCATGTACCTCATGTTAGTACCTCATGTTAGTACCTCATGTACCTCATGTTAGTACCTCATGTACCTCATGTTAGTACCTCATGTTAGTACCTCATGTACCTCATGTTAGTACCCCATGTACCTCATGTTAGTACCTCATGTTAGTACCTCATGTTAGTACCTCATGTACCTCATGTTAGTACTCATTGAGAAGTGTGTACCTCATGGTGTAAATATCCTTGCACCCATTTGTTTACATTTTGCTTGCTGATTAGAGTGGTGTTGTGTTTTACTTCCTCCACTTAGTATAGAACTTCAGACCTCTGACCTTCACTGAGAGGATCTAAATAATTGGAATTTTATATTGTTATCGTAATAGATTTAATTGATATATTATTCTCTTTCTCTGATTATCAATACTCTAAAGGCTTCTTGCCTCCAGAATCAAACTATGCCTCCAACATCACAATATTGCTCTCTCACATCATAATATACCTCTCTCACATCACAATATTCCTCTCTCACATCACAATATTTCTCTCTCACATCACAATATTCCTCTCTCACATCACAATATTCCTCTCTCACATCACAATATTCCTCTCTCACATCACAATATACCTCTCTCACATCACAATATTCCTCTCTCACATCACAATATTCCTCTCTCACATCACAATATTCCTCTCTCACATCATAATATACCTCTCTCACATCACAATATTCCTCTCTCACATCACAATATTCCTCTTTCACATCACAATATACCTTAAGCATCACAATCACTTATTTTCACACTAAATTAATTAATACTTCCTTGTTGCTTGTCTGTGTTGCTTATTTCCACCTATAGCAGCTCTTTATTTTAAGCCTGAGTAGGCTAACTTTGCCCACTTCGGTAATGGATCGTAGTATCGTATATGCTATGATCATGTTCCCTCTGGTTCATCTTTCCTCCAGTGCTTTAGTTTGAATAATTTCAACCTAATCCTGAGATCTCATGTGTCAGAGATCAGGAAAAGGCTTCATCTGCATCGTTCTTTTGAACCCATCTCACCTAAACTCACACATAATCCCGTTCTTCAGCTGAACTTTTCCCTCGTTTGAATCCTTCCCTCGTCTGAACCCTTCCCTTGTCTAAACCCTCCCCTCAACCTAACCCTTCCCTTGTCTAAACTCTCCCCTCATCCTAACCCTTCCCTTGTCTAAACCCTCCCCTCAACCTAACCCTTCCCTTGTCAAAACCCTCCCCTCAACCTTACCCTTCCCTTGTCTAAACCCTCCCCTCAACCTTACCCTTCCCTTGTCTAAACCCTCCCCTCAACCTAACCCTTCCCTTGTCTAAACCCTCCCCTCAACCTAACCCTTCCCTTGTCTAAACCCTCCCCTCAACCTTACCCTTCCCTTGTCTAAACCCTCCCCTCAACCTAACCCTTCCCTTGTCTAAACCCTACCCTCAACCTAACCCTTCCCTTGTCTAAACCCTCCCCTCAACCTTACCCTTCCCTTGTCTAAACCCTACCCTCAACCTAACCCTTCCCTTGTCTAAACCCTACCCTCAACCTAACCCTTCCCTTGTCTAAACCCTACCCTCAACCTAACCCTTCCCTTGTCTAAACCCTCCCCTCATCCTAAAGCCTTCCCTTGTCTAAACCCTTCCCTTGTCTAAACCCTACCCTCAACCTAACCCTTCCCTTGTAATATAGGAGTATGTTGAAACACTGTTTTCTGAGCAGGGAGTGCATGTAAACATTTGTCTAAGATGACAAAACTTGCCTTGGTGTGCTGGATGGAAAAGATAATAACAAATGCAGTTTGACGCATTTGACAGTGCTGGCAAGACGCTTGTGCGCATGCGTAAGGATGACCTTACCAGCGCATTGTGTTCCTGCAGGCATTTTGGATAGACACTGTCCTGTGCTTTAGAGACACTTTCCCATGTACATTTCTTAGTCAAATATGGAGTTGAAAATATAATTTATTATTGAAACCCGGTACATGATATCTGAAATGAAAATATGCAGTCTGGATAATAATTTGTCTCAATATTGGAACGACAAGCGGAAAGAGGAGGGAGTGAGTTATCAGGGGGAAAACGCCAAGCCATTATGACTACATAGCACTTGGAAGGGGGGGTCAGGATAAGGATTTGGGATGGGACGGAGGGAAGGAATGGTGGTCAACCACTTGGACGATCGGGGATTAAACTCCGACCTGCATGACCCACCAACACGCAAAAAGACAGCGTGGGCTAAGGATGAGGCACTCTGAGGTCTGTACAGACCTGGAGCCAGATTCACGAAGCAGTTACGCAAGCACTTACGAACCTGTACATCTCTTGTCAATCTTTGGCAACTTTATTTACAATTATTAAACAGTTAATAAACTCCGAAGCACCAGGAGGCTGTTTATAACAATAACAACAGTTGACTGGGAAGTTTTCATGCTTGTAAACTGTTTAATAAATATAACCAAAGCCGTTAAAGATTGAGGAAAGATGTACACGTTCGTAAGTACTTGTGTAACTGCTTCGTGAATCTGACACCTGCACTCCACCCTAATGACTGCAGGTCCCTTGTAACCTTTAATATTTTAGATCTTGTTTACTGTGGTGAAAACCCAATAGATACATTAAGAGTTAGGAGAGGTGATGGAATTATGTCAGCCACGGCCATAGGTGAGGGCGGCCATGTTGGATCAGGCAGACAAAGGTAGAGTGACCATTGGTCATTAATACCACCTTGATCAGTGATTAATACTGCATTACAGTGTAGATTAATACGCCAGGGAGCTGAGTAATGTTAAGCAGAATAGCTCTATGAATATATATCGCGTTAATTACTAGTTGTAATTCTGTGTATGGGGGAAACGTTTGTTCCTGCAGGTATTATACTTATATAGAGTGTCTATCTTATATACTATAGGAGTGTAGTAGATGGTGGAGCTCTTTTGTGCATTATGACTCTACGATTATATATATATATATCACATTGATCAATGTTGACCAGACCACACACTAGAAGGTGAAGGGATGACGTTTCGATCCGTCCTGGACCATTCTCAAGTCGACCATTCTCAAGTCGATGAGTTGATCACATTGATCAACTTTAGTTCCTGGAAGGCTTGTACATATATAGAGAGCCTGTGTTATATACTGTAAGAGTGTATATAGTGGAGTAATTGTGTGCATCATGGCTTTATGATTTTATATCACCTGGATCAACTTGTGTTCCTGGAGGTATTATACTGATATATGGTGTCTGAATGTTATATATATCGATACTCCAGGTCCGAGTGTTCTTCCTTAAGTTACTGCATAGCAAGCCACTCATCCTTACCCTTGACATTTAACTGAATACCAATAAAAATAATTATAATACTCTTATTTTTTTAAATAATGTGTATATCAAGGACATAGGAGTAATAAGCAATTGAACACAAGATTAATATACAACTGAAATAAGTGTGTAAGCAGGAATAGCTAATTCTGTGAATAAAGAAAATGTCAGAAGATTGAAATCTTAATTATCCCAGAAGAACATCAGGGACTGGAGCAGAGACCTTTGGTCATTTAATTAATATGTAATAATTATCTTGATTTGTGTTGTTAGTAAGAGACAACTCACATTTGTATCACTTAGATTTGTTTTTAAGATTTGTACTCTCCCTTCACCTGAACCTTTTCCTTCATCTGAACTCTCCCCCTCACCCGAACCGTCCCCTCATTTGACCCCTTCCCCACATATGAACCCTCCCCCTCCTTGAACCACCCCCTTCATCTGAATCCTTCCATCACCGGAAAACTCCCATCATACGACACTTTCCTCTAAACTGAACCCTTCCCCTCACCTGAACTCTCTCCACATCTGAACCTTCCATTCACCCTCTTTTCTTAGCATTCAAGTAGAATGTTGCAAGAAAATAACTATTCTGTTCAAATAATTGAAAATAATACAAATTTACCTCTGGTCATTTTAAATTAATGCGGAGACTTTATAAACGTGACCCTCAGCATCTGTGACGAGCTCTGAAGAGGGTTCAGTGACTCATGTCCTTCGACGTGGCGATTGGTACAGGTGGCCTCTGAGAATTACAAACAAAAAAGACAGTTACATCTGCTCTACATTCATCTTCCAGCACCTGCTCTTGGTGCAGCTGTTTCGTTCAAATAAATACCCGTGAGTTTGCTCCTATTATTACCAGTTGTAAGCCAGACTTCACGGGCAGAGGACGCGAGGCGACCCCTAAGAACATAACACACACACAAGCCGCCGAGGTTCACAGTGTGGTGGGGACGGCGAAGAGAGAGAGACAGAGGACCATTTTGTAGCTGAAGAGGCGTCGAGGAACAAGGAAACACCAGCACCATGAAGGCATCGCTCGTGCTAGTGATCCTCTGTGTCTCCCTGATGGCGGGAGCAGAGGCCGACGGGGGTGTACCTGCAGGATCACCGCAACCCAGCGGGAGCGACGCCGCTGCTTCTGGTAAGGTACGTCACATTTGTCGTCTTGCCTAGCTGTCTACACACTAAGACGCCAAGTGATGCTTTTAAGGTGGATAAGTGAAGCACCTAAGTACCTATTCTATGGCTTACTTCTTTGCTTTCACTGTGGAGGTCAGTGATACTGTTATTTTCTTCGGGAGCTCGAGTTGATAGCAAATCTCTAACCAATCAACTGTTACATATCTATGTTGTACGCATTATGGTAAAATATTGAGGATGGAACCAAACCCGGTCTGTGGTACTAGCAGAGACAAACATGGCTTACTCCGCCATGGGAGGCTATAAGCAACACAGCCAGATGTTGTTCTAAACATACACGGTGTTGGGAGGCACCTGCTTGGTACCCGATCCTACTCTGGTATAGGTAACGCTGTTCTTATGTCCATCTCCCGCCCTTGTCAACGAAAAATTGAGCAGCTCTCCCTCACGCTACTGTGGATTCTCTTTGTATTGAGAGGGACGGAAGATGATCTTGAAACATTATTGATACAGCCACGATTCATCAAGCCTTTACGCATTTACTTACGAAACCTGTTCATCTTTAATCAATCAAGACGGCTTTGTTTGCTTTTACTAAACAGTTTATGAGCTTTAAAGCACTAAGAGGCTGTTTATAACAAAAATAATCTTGAGTAATGAAGTTCCGCATTATTAAACTGTTCACAAAATGTTAGCAAAACCGCCATGAGCAAGGAACCAATTTACAGATTTCGTAACTGGTTGCGAATACGTTTGGTGAATTCCTGGGCCGGAGCAGCGGCGGGGAACTACTCAAAACTGAATTGTTGCTACAGGGGTACACGGGTTCCAAACCTTCCCCCTCCCCCTTGTATGTTCAGCAGAACATTTGGATCCGTTATGCCTTCCGAGGTGTGAGTGGTTGGTGCGAGTTTCCGGCAGGGTTGGAGACCACTGGGCGGTTCCACAGTATACTCTCAATATTTTCACATACAGGGTGTCCAGAACTACTTCCCTCCATCATAGACAAAGTGACTGGATGCCTCTTGTGTATTAGTGCATCATCAACCATGATACTGGACACCCTAAGGATTGGTTTTGGATCACATCCACCATAAGGATTGGGTTTGGATCACATCCACCATAAGGATTTATATTTGATCACATCCACCCTAAGGATTGGTCTTTGTTCGCATTTCTTGCTAAATATTTAGAAGAGTTCTGTCAGCTGGTGAGCCTCTGATAGGAATAGCACGCAGCCCTCTACAGAAAGACATATTGTACTGCATATGTCAAACAGTGCAGATGAGAAAATATCGGGAGCAGGACGGTGGGATTGAAACCGCGTCCAAGATCACCCCACTCCCCCCAACACGCACATATGGTCCAAAGAGTAATGCGTGCAGCTAGGGTGAAACCCCAGGATTTTGGGGTTCGATTCCACCGGCCTGTTCCAAAGATTTTTCACGTGGTTCGTGTTCACCTTTGTGCTGTCAAGGGGTTAAGGAAATTGATGATGTTCACCTGTGGGGTTCGTACAGGTGAACATCATAAGTTTTAGTTACTCCTGACAGCGTATACATATTCAGTATCTCTCTGTATACAAACCGGTGGCTGCATAATCTTTCAATCAGATGCTCACTAGCTAAATGAAATTAGCATATGCTGAAATCATATACATACATATATATATATATATATATATATATATATATATATATATATATATATATATATATATGTATATATATATATATATATATGTCGTACCTAATAGCCAGAACGCACTTCTCAGCCTACTATTCAAGGCCCGATTTGCCTAATAAGCCAAGTTTTCATGAATTAATGTTTTTTCGTCTACCTAACCTAGCTTTTTTTGGCTACCTAACCTAACTTTACCTATAAATATAGGTTAGGTTAGGTTAGGTAGGGTTGGTTAGGTTCGGTCATATATCTACGTTAATTTTAACTCCAATAAAAAAAAATTGACCTCATACATAGAGAAAAGGGTTGCTTTATCATTTCATAAGAAAAAAATTAGAGAAAATATATTAATTCAGGAAAACTTGGCTTATTAGGCAAATCGGGCCTTGAGTAGTAGGCTGAGAAGTGCGTTCTGGCTATTAGGTACGACATATATATATATATATATATATATATATATATATATATATATATATATATATATATATATATATATATATATATATGCAGAAATTAATCATATATATAGAATTCATACATAACCATAAATCCTACATATGCGGAAAGCCTGCCTACAGATTCGTTGAATATCTGTGCTCAGACTCAAATAAATTGATCAAAATTAAGACTTCATGTGGTCTTTTTTCTTTTTTTTTATACTATGAGATTATTTTTATACGGGATGATATCTAATATATGTACTCTTTACTAATCTGAAATTCCTTCCTAAAATATAAGACAAATCAAAGCAAAGCCACACATGTAGTGAGAAGCAGGCTTATATTTTCATCCAGCCAGGCTCTCCAGCACAATTGATTTGATTGCTTTTTTACTTAATAAAAGAGACGCCGAACCCCTTCATCTGAAAATGAATGAAGCGACGACGTTTCGGTCCATTATGGACTATTATCACGACTTGATAATTGGTCCGGGACGGACCGAAATGTCGTCACTTCATTCGTTTCCAGATGTGTGGGTTGGGTATGTAATTTTCTCCCATGTTATTGTGACTTAGTGTCAGCTGGGTAAGGGAATTGTGAGGAGAAACCGCTAAGACAGTATGGCTATATAGTTCTTGGAAGGGATATGAGGAAAAGGAGTTGGGATATGAGGACAAGGAGTTGGGATACGAGAACAAGGAGTTGGGATATGAGGACAAGGAGTTGGAATACGAGAACAAGGAGTTGGGATATGAGGACAAGGAGTTGGAATACGAGAACAAGGAGTTGGGATATTAGGACAAGGAGTTGGGATACGAGAACAAGGAGTTGGGATATTAGGACAAGGAGTTGGGATACGAGAACAAGGAGTTGAAATATTAGGACAAGGAGTTGGAATATGAGATCAAGGAGTTAGGATATGAGGACAAGGCGTTGGGATATGAGAACAAAGAATTATAATATGAGATAAGGAGTTGGGATGTAAGGATTGGGAGCTGGGAGATGAGGATAGGGTGAATAAATTGTGCACAAACCCATGGGCCTCGGGAATCGAACGCCAACCCTGTATGCTTTGGAACGCCAAGACCCGAGGACGTAGCCGTAGCCGAGGACGTAGCTCACTGAGCCACAGGACTCAAAACTTACAAAAAGAACAGCTAATAAAGTTTAAAAGTATGGACAACAGTACTGTTCCTACACGTTTTATTTCAATAAAAAACTTCAAATTTAATTTAAATTCAGAAAATATTGAGGCCATACGATGGGATCGAACTCTCGTCCCAGTACTCCTAAAAGGCACACACACACTACTGATGGAACCATGATGAGCTCCAAGGCATGCCAATCAGATGGTTTACCAGAATCATTTGGCGATTGGAAGGTATGAACCATTCTGAACCACAATCCACATATTATTATTATTATTATTATTATTATTATTATTATTATTATTATTATTATTATTGTATGCTTAAGAATGAACTATTTTTATTATATTTAATTTTCATACACTCTTGTTGAGCTCAAGTGTTTAAAATCTAGAGTTTATTATGTCTAAAATTTTATTTTACACACTCACACACACACACACACACACACACACACACACACACACACACACACACACACACACACACACACACACACACACACACACACACACACACACACACTCAAGTGTATTCTTATGTAATATAAAATGTCTTAATTTATTGCAGATGACGTGGCTGAAGAGAGAGAGAGAGAGAGAAAGGGGAGTAAACAGAAGAGAGAAAAAGAGAACCGCAAGAAGCTGTGAATCTCTTCTGTAGCCACAGGAGAGATGCAACTGATATAGTGACCAAGTGCACTGTTACACACTTGTATACAGTGTATACAAGTGTGTATACACTATTTACACACATAAACACTGTATAAGCAATAAATACGCTGTAGATTTCAACACATACTCGAAAAATGAAGGCAACAATGGCTGGAATGAACAAAAATTATAGATCTTATAGCAATTTTGCGTGAAACGAACAAAAATTATATTTCTTATAGCAACTATGGATGGAATGAACAAAAATGGTAGTTCTAATAGCACCCATGGGTGGAAAGAACAAAAATGGTAGTTCTAATAGCACCCATGGGTGGAATGAACAAAAATGGTAGTTCTAATAGCACCCATGGGTGGAATGAACAAAAATGGTAGTTCTAATAGCACCCATGGGTGGAATGAACAAATATCATATCTTTTTTAATAGCAATTATGGGTGAGAAAATAAAAAATTATAGTTTTAATAGCAACTACGGGTGGAGCGTGCAAAATTTGTAGTTCTTATAGAATCTATAGGTAGAAGGTACAAAAATTATACTTCTTATAGAATCTAAGGGTAGAATGTACAAAAATAGATTGCTGTACCCCCAAAAAATTTAGGTTTTGTACTCCATATGGTAAGCCAAAAAGTGGAACAGTAACTGTAATACTAACTTAACCTTTCATAGGCCTAAATGAGTAATCCTAGGCCTGATATTCGCCATTTTAAGGTTAATTTAGTACATATATGTGCTAAACTTGGCTTAGGCTTCAGATTTGACTATATATATATATATATATATATATATATATATATATATATATATATATATATATATATATATATATATATATATATATATATATGTCGTACCTAGTAGCCAGAACGCACTACTCAGCCTACTATGCAAGGCCCGATTTGCCTAATAAGCCAAGTTTTCCTGAATTAATATATTTTCTCTAATTGTTTTCTTATGAAATGATAAAGCTACCCATTTCATTATGTATGATGTCAATTTTTTTTATTTGAGGTAAAATTAACGTAGATATATGACCGAACCTAACCTATCTCTATAGGTTAGGTTAGGTTAGGTAGCCGAAAAAGTTAGGTTAGGTTAGGTTAGGTAGGTTAGGTTGTCGAAAAACAATTAATTCATGAAAACTTGGCTTATTAGGCAAATCGGGCCTTGCATAGTAGGCTGAGAAGTACGTTCTGGCTATTAGGTACGACATATATATATATATATATATATATATATATATATATATATATATATATATATATATATATATATTTATTTATTAACCTAGAAGGGGTACCACCTCTGGTGCAAGTGTAGGGACCCATAGCCTCAGAGAAAAAGATAAAGAGTACTCAGAGAAGACCTTGTGGATCCTCACTGAACACTTTGATATTTTCTTCTCTTACCACCCCTATTCTTTTGGTATGTGTGTATATTTATCTAACTTTATTTGAAAATATCATTACACAAAAAAATTACAATATTATATGCGGAAAGCCTGCCTACAGATTTATTGAATATCTGTGCTCATATATATTATAATTTTTAGATGGCAGGTTTATTTGTGAATATAATTATCATTCCTGCATGCTGTGATTTAAGCAAACTTTCCAAAAATGTAGAGGGCCTAAGAAATCGATGACATGATGATTTTTCCCCTCTCTCTTAAAGGAACTCTCTCGGAGCAAAGGTATGGACCCGAACACAACGAGCATGGATCCGGAGGCGAATTCGAGGAGCACGAACACGGGTGTGCCCCGAGGAGACTCTGCGATGAGAACGAGGGCGTTTGCAGGCGTTCTTGCAACGGTCCAGTGGAGAACGAGGTGCACAATGGCTGTGGTGGGAATGGTTGCAAGTGTTGCACTCGTAAGAATAAGAAACGTGAGTGACAACAAAAAATATGATTTTTATGATGCTATTGCCTTTAGTCCAAACCTCACTTTCAAGCCTAACTTGTCCTAAACATTTCTAGCCTATCGTACCTTAACGTAGCCTAAATAAATCTATTTATTTTTAGCGTAATATACCTTAATTTAATGCAGCTTATCTTAGCTTAACGTTCCCTAACCTATCTTAGCTTAATGCAGCCTAATCAAATCTACTCTATCCCAGCTCAACCTAGCCTCACCTAATGTATACTCAGGACCTCAGCAGCCTCTTTCAGTATCCATGATATCCGTAATATCCACGGTCGGATATCTGCTCATAAACCCCGACTTTCCACCATCGTTACTTCATTGCAGTGACTCATTTCATTCGCTTTTTGTATCATATTTATTTTGATAACGGTGTGTGTGTGTGTGTATACTCACCTAGTTGTACTCATCAATTTATTCTTGCAATATCAAGCTGTAGTTCTTGGATCCCGTCTTTCTAGCAGGCGGTTGTCTAATGCATTGATTCCGATCTTATTTTACTGTCATATCTTTTCATGAAATTATGAATGGTTATCTCTTCTATAACCTGTTCATTTAGTTCATTCAAATTTCCTACTACTCTATCACTAAAATGAAATTTTCTAACAACTTTGTGGCTCATCTGTTCTAAAGCTTACGTTCTTTCAGTTAATGTTTTAATGACATTTATTTCAACACTCAGTCTCACCTAAGTATTTTTTGTACGTATCTTTCATGTCTCCTCTCTCTCCTCTTTTCTATTGCAATTCTGAGACGAGCCTCGTTGCACACCTGCATATCACCCTCTTTGTATATTAGGACTACGTTAGCTATCTTCCAACTTTCTGGTAACGCTCCTGTTCTGATTGACCTCCTGAGTGTGAGTGTGTGTAATTTGCTATTTGAGCTTGCAGAATCGAGCTATTAGCTCTTGGCCCTAATAGCTATTCTAATCAATCTATTTTCCTCTATAATATCTTTTACATATATATTTCTCTCCCCCCCCCCCCACACACACATCCCCAGGAAGCCGCCCGTAACAGCTGTCTACTTCTCAGGTACCTATTTACTGCAAGGTGAACAGGTGCATCATGTTGAAAAAACTACTCCATTTGTTTCTGCCTCGGCCGGGAATCACACCCGGACCCTTAGGACTACGATCCCTCTATTGGTGTTAGACGATTCTTCACATTTTTTTCGAGTATTTTGCAGAGAATGCTTATCAATGATACCGGTCTGTAGTTAAGTGCCACTTCCTTAACCCATTTCTTGTACATTAGTACCACATTTGCCTTCTTCCAACAGTTGGGCAACTCTCCCTTCGAAATTTAATATTTATAGATCGTTCCCAGAGGTCTACTGAGGGCCTATGCCCCTCAGTAACTCAACTTCCGCAATCACAATTGAGGGAGTTGAGCTTCGGCTCTTTGATCTCGACTCTCAACTACCAATCAATTGATGTGCAAGTTCCTTAGCCTCCTGGGCTCTATCATATCTTCACTTGAAACTGTGTATGGAGCTAACTACTCTAATACTGAGAAAAACATTTCTAATAATCCATAGACTCATTTCAGTACTAAGCGTCCCATTGTGCGCGAGCCTCTTGTGCAACATAACATAATTATGTTTGTATGTGTTTCAAAACCTCTTCATACAAAGCGTGTTCTCTCGCACGTCTGTGCTCACAACACGAGTAAACTATTCCCCTTCCAGACTGCACCAGCAACGTGGAATGCAGAGAGCACGGTGGCAGGTGCACCCAAGCCAAATGCAAGAACCACGAGGTCCTCATACGTCGTGGGTGCAAAGGACAAGGCTGTAACTGCTGTGTTCCTAATGGTTAGTCTTGCTGTTTTAAATGCTATTAAATGCCATCAATGATATAAATATACATATAGGAGGTGAATTCTCCGAGCTCCTCGTCTTCCTTACTGAGGTCATATCCGTGATCTGGTTGATGGTTCATTAGACTTGATATAGAGGTCGAGTGACAGACAGACAAATGGGAAGGTGTGGTCTTAGACTAGTAATTAGGGAGACATATTGACACACTATTAGATAGAGACTCTTGACAGTCTCTACCTGTCAATATAGACATATTGTCAGACAAGCAGATAGGGGACATATTGACAGACAAGCAGATAGGGGGCATATTGACAGACAAGCAGATAAGGAAGTATATTGATAGGGAAGTATACAGACGTCATGTTGACAGATATGGAAATATGGAGTCAGGATGACAGTTACCGGAACAAGATGTAATAACACATAGGGAGATGCACTGATTAGTAGATAGGGAGATATGATGATAAATAGATTGGGAGGTATGATGATCAATAGATTGGGAGGTATGATGATAAGTAGATAGAAAGATATATTGATAAGTATATAGGGAGGTATATTGATAAGTAGTGAGGTATATTGATAAGTAATGAGATATATTGTTCAGTAAAAAGGAAGGTTTATTAATACATTGGCAGCGAGTATACTGATAAGCATACAGGGAGGTATATTGATAAGCAGATAAGGTATATTGATAAGAAGATATGGAGTATACTGATAACTGGATAGTGTGGTATATTGATACCTAGATAGGGAAGTATAAGGATGTGTATATAGGGAAGAGTATTGATAAGCAAATTGAGAATAAGTAGACAAGGAGCAATTCTGATAAGTAGATAAGAAGATATATTTATAAATGAATAAAGAGAAATGCTCACAAGGAGCCTTTAGATAATATTAACAAATGACAGAGTTCTTGGTATATTCAGTCGAGTGAACTTTCATAAACGTTTATAAACGTTTTATAAACGTTGTTTTTTAGCATATGCAACAAATTCAGAGGAATTCAGGTTGTATTGGTTTTTAGAACATCGTGGTGCCATGGGTAATCCGTGTGTCTGGTGGGTGTCCTTGGACGCCGTGTCAGGCCCACCGGCCTGCTCCAAATATATTTCACAGAGGTAACATTAGTAGTGAGGTAAGGAACATTGATGCAAACGATAGTTGTGTAAAACCTTAGAGCAATAAGTTAACATGATATAATTTTCCCTTTGTGGTGTGTTTCAGTGCGTGATGCTGAAGGTGTTGTCAACGAGGAGACTCAAGTGGTAGAGGAGGTAGAAGAGGAAGGAGGAGAGGAGAAGAATGAAAGTTATGATGTCGAGGAGGAAGATGAAGAAGAGTAAAAGCTTCTGAATCTGCAAACGCAAGCACACACACACACACACACACACACACACACACACACACACACACATACAGAAATAGGAAAGCTCCAGCGGCTCTCACAGACTGACGAACATCAGAATACCACCATTTGGCACCATGGAAGAGGAGGCCACACAACACCATTATTTACCATCGGGAGACCAGTCCTCTAGAACCCAGTAACCAAGGGAAGACCATGTTACCACAAGCAGCACAACACGAGACTTGTAAAGGCTCAGAAGTTTACAGATAGAGAAAGGAACTCAGACCTGAACTGAAGGAAATATGTGAAAATATTGAGGGAAGTGTATCGAACGGCGGCTGAGAAGTACTGACAACTAGGAGACATGATAGACGGTGAATTATCAATGTTGAAAAGAAGAGAAATGAGAAATAAAATGAACTAGATGAGGAAGCATGAGCTGCCATGTCACTGCATTTGATGACTGACAACTGGAGTCTACACCTCGACTTGCGTGGTTTGCGGGAGTAGAACAACTCTCAACACCTGTAAAGCAGGTAAACACACTCTACACATTTTCCCTTCGCTTCCAAAGGCGGCGTAGTTTACTTTAAAGAAAGACGAAGCATGTTTGGATTACTTGCACATTCACGTAACTGGCATCCACCATGACTTTCCACTACCATTATCAGGCAGCATAATGTACACACACACACACACACACACACACATATATATAGGACCAGGATTCGGACCCCAGTTGCACGGGATTTAAAGTAATAAACATATAAATATATATATATATACATTTGTTGCAATTTGCAATAACTTTCTACTTACGAAAATGTCATTGTTATTTCATTGGTTTATGCACTAATAAATACAAAAATACAATATTGCGTTTAATTATCTTCAGGAACATTATAGGAATTAAAAATTTAACATTAACTTTAGCAAATTAAAAAAGTTCAAATGATTGATAAACCATATGAATTGCAGATTCAAGCGGTGAATACTTTCATAATGGTAATTTTGTCCTTAACATTTGGAGAAAAGTATACTTTCTGGTTGGCTAGCAAGCTCTTGTGGACATAATGCACTAAAAACCAAACCAAACCATGTTTATAATAATAATCACAGGGGGAATATATACTCCGAGGTGGCGTAGTGGTAAGACATTCGCCCCGCGTCTCGCGAGCGCCTTGGTCTGGGTTCGAATCCTGGCGAACGAGGATATACTGGACACCAATTCCTTTCATGCATCCCATCCTAAATCCTTCTCCTAAATGGCTTGGCACTTTCTCCTGATAGTTCCTTTCACTTCGCTTTTGTTCACCCTAGCAGTAATTGGGTGCCTGGTTGTTAACCGATTGGCGGGTCAACCAATCAGGCTACGCTCGTCCAAGAAGCGGCTGACCCTTATTTAAACTTTATTACAAAAAAGGAGTTACAGACTTGATTCCAGACGTTACCAAGTTGGTTATCGAAGGTTGTCGAATTCGTCCAGCTCCTCAGACAGCGGACAGGAACCCAGAATGCAGTGTGCATTTCTCCTCTCCATAGCCATGCCAAGGCGCTGGAAAAGTAAGTAGGGAAGCTATAGGGGTCTCTTGTTATTTCAATTAGCCTAGAACCCTGTTCCTTGAAAAAAACTGGTGGCTCTCAGACGCCAAGTGTCTCGGAAGTAATGGGGACAAAATTGTAGTGATGATCCATTTCTCTGTATTTACGGGACTTCGCTGATTCCCTGGGAGTGCAGTGCCACCCGGATGTGCGACAGCAGTCCCGCACCAACTGCTTGCCATTCTTCCAGGGGTTCACTGTGATCCCATCTGGGTGACCAATAAGAACATCAGAGTTACGGGTTTTGCGTTTTCAGGACCAAAGGGTTTGACAAACTGGGCGCCATAGATACACATGAATAGGGCTGGAAACTATGGAAACCGGATGAGGATGGCGTCGAGGGGGGATAGAAAGGTCATTGCCTATCTACTGTGGATTGGGAGTCGTTTAAGTTTTTGTATCTTGATACTGTGAGTTTGAATTATATCCGTCGTGGAAAGGCTGCATGGCGGGTTGGATGGCTTGAGGCTGGCTTGCTCGGGGCGAGGAGTGGTTCAGTCTTGTCGGTGTGTGTTCGAAGGGATGGGGTTGCCTCGGTGGGTTTTCAGTGGGCTGTTCCTTGGAGCTGTATGTGGTGAGTTCTGTCTTGGAGGCGGTGGCTTCTTTCAGGTGTTTAGCCTTGTTCCTGGTCACACGCCTGATTTCCTAGTTCTTCTTTCTTTATCTGTTCTCTCTCTCTGAGCCTTGTGTTGATGACTTTAATAACGGCTGAGTATTGGGTGTAGAATTCTTGAGTGATGAGCTCGGGGTCGAGAACGGTGATGCCGTGGCAGCGTTGGATTAGGTGTGGCTCGACGCTGCAGCGAGCATTGGGTTTTCCTTCTCTTTCAGTCCGAAAGAATTTGCTTGACGCCAGGCTGTTTTCGCGTCTGACTGCCAGGGAGTTTTTTTTTTATTTCTCGGCCGTTTTTGAGACGCGTCGGGTAACCGGGGAAGGGCGTGTCATATTCTTCGGCTGTATGTAGAGTGTACTCTTCGATGTCTTCAGTTTCCTCTTCTGAGTCTTCTTTGCTGTGGCAGGAACTGGTCCCGCTTGAAGGGGCTGTGGCTGAGGTCGTTGCAGGTCCATCTGCTCTGCGGTCGTAAGCTAGGATATCTGGTATCTCTTGTTCTGGTGATGGTTATGGTGTCGATGTATCTTGGTCGGCTGGGGCTGCTTGCCATGTTGGTGGGTTGGCTGACTGAGCTGTTGCTGCTGCTGTTGTTGTTTGGAGCAGATTGGCTTGCGCTATGATGGTCTGTGAAGCTTGGAGTAGGTCCTCTGGTACCGACATCTTGGGTAGCTTCAGTTTCAATGTTCAAAGGGCTTGGAGAAGATGGGGGAAGGAAGAAGGATGGGGGAGTGCAAATTCTTGAAAAGGAAGCGGATGTGGAACGAGGAAGATAAAAGGTTCGGTGGCCTATCCATCGTGGGTTGGTGTCAGGTGTTTGTCTTGGTTCTTAGTCTTGGTTTTGTTATTCTGACTTCTCCTTGGGTGGCGAGAGGCGACGTGGTAGGAAGTTTGAAAGTTTGATGTCCAAAGGGCTTGGAAAGGGCTTGGGGGAGGAAGAAGGATGAAGGGTTGAAAGTCTTGAAAAGGATTTGGATGGGGAACGAGGAGGCTTGAAAGTTCGGTGGCCTGTCCACCATGGATTGGCATGATGTTATGGTCTTGGGGTGGAGCATGTTGTTGTTGTTGTTGTTGATCTTGATGTTGTTCTCGTTCTGCAGCAGTAAGCTTGGGGAGTGGCGGTCAGCTGTCATGCTCGTGTAGGTGAAATGCTGCGTCTGGCTTGAGTGAAGGTGTCTTTCAATTTGAGGTGTGCACGTTTTGTTATTCTAATCCGTGTGTCTTGGTGGTAAGTGATTCTGCCCGAGGCATCGCCTGATTGATGTGCACATTAACGATGGTCCCTCGGTTTCTTCCGGGTCGTCTTCATATTCGTGGAATATGTACAGTCTCTCAGGGAATTTTTTGTCGAAGTCCGGGTCGTAGTACTCCTTCAGAGTGGAGAGGTCAACACAGTAGTGCATGGCAGAGCCGTAGACGAACATGGGGTGTGGGAATTTGTCGGGGTTCTTGTTGGGGATGATCCAGTTGTATTTGTGTGCCAGCTGTTGTCCTGTACTGGAGGTTACCCTGAAACCCATCTGCGTTAAAGTAGAGGCCATAGCAGGGCCGTCTCTTTTTGTCGTTGGCTTCCTTGTCGTCTTCGGGTTCAGTGTAGGTGGTTTCAAGGTTATCGCGGTCAGCTGGGTAAGTTCCTGGTACTGTTGCTGAAGCTGGACGCTCTTTTTTTCCTCTTGGTTTTTGGTCGCATGTGTGCTTGGGTTGGAGTTGAGGTTGCCACTGGGTGATGATCATCCAGGTCCGAGGCGATGTTAGTCGATGTCGTTGCTTTTGCTGCCTCTGGTGTTGGGATTTGCTCTGGTTGGATTGGGGGTAGCTTGTAGAGTCTCGAGTAGATCCGCTGGTAGCGACATCTTGAGTAGGCTGTTTGCAAACAGCAGCCTGTTGAGTGCATTCACGTACTTGGCCTTGACTTGACTTGGTTTTCCAAGTGATTTGGAGAGAATGGGGGAGAAAGAGGGATGGGGAGGTGACATTCTTGAAAGAAGATTTGGATGTGGATAGAGGAGGCTTGAAATTTCGGTGGCCGATCCACTATGGGTTGGCATGATGTTTTTGTCTTGGTTTGGAGTCAGTCTTGAGTTCTGCGGCAGGAGGCTAGTGAGGTGGAGGTTGGCTGTTGTTCTGCATTTATGTCAGGTGTTCTGTCTGGCTTGCAGGATGCGTCTTCCCTATAGAGTTGGTGAACCTACGGTTGCATTAACTTCGGTTTGGTGGTTTCTCGCTGGTTGGAGTTCGTTTGAACAGACCGCACAGAACCTCTGGTAAAGAAGTCTTGGGGTTCCGGGTCTTGGGGTTCGTTGGCGGCATATTCCTCGTTTAGATAGAACTCCGGGTCGAAGTACTCTCTCTTCAGGATTGTGAGGTCAGTGTGACTCCACAATGTTTCTGTGTGGACATACATTCGGTGAGGGAATTTGTCGGTGTTCTTGTTGGCGATGATCTGGTTGAATAGTAGGACCAGTTTTATTTTTTGTACTACTGTTGCCCTTGAAATCGGTATCCCCTTCGAAGTAGCAGAGGAAACGGGCGCTTCATATCTGTCTTGCGCCACTTGCCTGTGGGTTCGGGTATGATATAGGAGACTTTAAGTTCTGCAAGATCCATGTTGTCTTCTGGTTGAGTTGCTGTAACATCCGCTTGGTGATCTTGGTTTGTTGTTGTGTCAGTGGAGAGAGTTGATGTAGGCATTGGGTGATTGATTGTCTAGTCTGGGATGGCTTGGGCCGTGCGGTAACTGGTGCGTGGGTCATAGGTGTTGTTTGCACTATAGTCGGTACTTCCGCCGAGGGTGTCGTTGGTATTGTTGCTGCTGGTCTCGTTGTTGTTGTAGCCTGGCCTGGTTGAGTTGAAGCAGCTTGTTGAGGTTGTAGTATGTCCACTGGAACCGACATCTCGGGTAGACCGTTTGTCGCAAGCAGTCTGTTGAGTATCTTCTCGTACCTGGCGATGTCTGCTCCTGCCAGAATGAATGAATTAAATATAGGTCAAGATACTCCATGGGGTGAGAGGGGAAATGAGGATAGGGGGAAGAATTAGCGAGGATGAGAGGAAGAGTTTTTAGAATGAGATAAAGTGCCAGGGCTAGACCCAGCTGCATGACGTTTAAGCGTTATAACCGGACTAAGCGATGGAGGCAAGGAATTTGATTTGTAGTGACAACATTCCATCTTTTCAGCGCACCCACGGAGATAGCAGCCCTTAGCTGGGTGAGCCTTGGAGGCTCACGCCAGTTGAGGTTTGGAGTCACTAGTCAGCATAGTGCCCCGCCCAGAGTCAATAGTAAATGGGAGCTAACAGGTCCCCCCCCCCCCCCCCCTAAAGAGGGAGGAGAAGAGTTAAGGAGGCTGGGTGTTTAGGAGCTAGGTATTTAGGATCGGAGGAGGAGAAGGGTGTCATTTGAATATTGGAGCATGGGGTGGGTCGTAGATCAGGTTAAATAGCTTGTGTGTAGTTTTAGGTCTGTTAGGGTCTTTCTGAGGAAGACGTCGTAGTTGTCGTAAAAGGTGAGAATTCTTGTGATCTGTTTTTTCCCCATAGTATTCCAGACCCTGTTCAGCGACGGGATGTTCGCTCATCCGTGCAGAGCTTCACTAGTGGTGAAGTCCTGCCAGTGGGTATCGAACACCCATCCTGCCAGCTTCTCTGCAAGGCAAATCA